AAACGTTCGACTTGTTCTCGATGCCTCTTGTAGAGCCGGTCATTCTCCATCACTCAGTGATGTGCTAGAGAAAGGACCAAACCTCTTAGAGAAAATCTTTCCACTGCTACTGAGGTTTCGGGAAAAATCGATTGGCATCATTTCGGATATAAGAAAGGCCTTCTTACAGATTTCTATTGCCGAAGAAGATGAAGACTATTTGAGATTTTTTGTAGTGGGAGAAGTTTGAGAAAAGAATATTGAAAATTTATCGTTATAAAAAGGGTAGTATTTGGACTCGCATGCAGTACATTCCTCTTAGCTGCAGTCATTAATTTTCGTTTGGACGAATACCGTGATGATTTTACAGGAAATGTGCGTAAGTTAACAAATGAATTTTATGTGGATAACTGTATGATATCTGTATCTGATGAAGAGAAACTACTGCAGAGTCGTAGCTAGGGTTTTCAGCGCCCAGGGACAACTGAAGATTTCGCGCCCCCTACTGCTTGCCAAGGATGGAAAACATTAAATTCTAAAATGTCGTAACATCAGTTTGGCGCCCCTTGGATTCTGCGCCCGGGGACAGATGCCCCTCCCTTGCCCCCCTCTAGCTACGCCCCTGAAATATTGCAATTTGCACATGAGGCTAAACAAATTCTAGCTTCAGCGTGTTTTGACTTTACGTGGATGGCAATATACTTCTTCAACAGGAGATAAAAGGGAAAAGGATTCTCTCGTTCTTGGATTATTGTGGGACAGAAATATATCCTTTTTGAAACTTAGATTGGATTGGATTGGATTATTCAGTTATGGCAAAGCACACGAGGGCTATCTGCCTAAAGGGAGGGATGCCTTTCGTGGAGGACTTTCCAAGGGAAACTGGCTCGTATACACGTTACACATGGGGAAAACCACGAAAACGCCCATGCAGCCAGCCCGTTCGCGGGATTCGAACCTCGGACCGAACTACCAGTGTTCAGCGTCTTTACCGCTCGGCCGCTGGTGGGCCCCTTGAAACTTAGATAATGTTTCTTTTGAAAAAGAACCTGTAACAAGAAGAAATATTCTTTCAGCTGTCAACAGTATTTTTGATCCCATTGGAATGTTGTGCCCAGTAACCATCTGCATGAAGATGCTAATACAAGAAAGCTGGACACTTTAATTAGGCTGAGATGACGTATGTCCCGAAAGTATTTGTAAAAGGCTTTTCATTGTGGACGGAAGATCTTCATTTATTATTGTAAATTAAAATTCCAAGATATGTTGATTCAGGAGGTTTCCAAGAAGTATTAAGTCTTCGTAATTTTGTAGATGCCAGTAAATCTGCTTACAGCGTAGTTGTATTTCTTCGTAAAAAAAAAAAAAAGTGATGAAATCAATGTTCATTTAATTCAAGCTAAGAGCAGAACTGCTCCCTTGAAGAAAGCAACAATTATTAGCCTGTTGTTATCGGAATATTCTAGTTATCGGTTATTAGCCTGCTGTATTAGCCTGTTGTGTAAGACCACGCATTATATTTTACGTTAGAAGAGAAATGAATTTGACAGAAGTCCCAACCACGTGTTGGACGGATTCACAACTTTGTTATGGACTAAGGAAGATAATTGGGGTACTTTCATTAAAAATAGAGTTAAGAAAATTCGAAGCATCACTACAGTGGATTCATGGAAACATATTCCTGGCAGTCATAATCTCGCAGACCTCCCATCCAGAGGTTGCTTTCCAAAATTTTTCCTTACATCAAAATGATGCGAGATCTGAGTGGCTAGAGCAGTCCGAAGGAAACAGGCCCAAATCTCAGATTCAAACCAATAGTGCAGAGGTTTACGAAGAGCGAAAGAAGGGAGGAAACTGTTTTAGTTAACTCTTCTGTCTCAGACGAGCGATGATACTTACGACGATTTTCCAAGTATTCAAAGATTTTGCGACTAATAGCCTGGATATTGCCCTTCTACAATAACTGTAAAAATTCTGAGACTATAATGAAGGGAAAGCTGTCTGTACAACAAATTGAAAATTCAGAAAAGATACTCATGAAAATTGTCCAAATGGAAGGCACTAATAAGACAGTAGGAGTACCAGCCTTAGATAACTTGGACAGAATTAATTTGACCAAAAGATATCGGTATCAACAAAAGCTACGGTAAGAGTTAAGAAGAAGATTTAGGGAAGAATATTTAGGTGTTTTAATTCAGCAGAATTTAATAAAAACAGTCTGAAACAGATATGAGTCGGTGAAGTTGTTCTAGTTAGATGTGATAACAAAAAATGAATATTTTGGCCTTTGGATATAGTTACAAAGGGTTTTTCCTGGACAAGGATAATCATGTAAGAGTAATGAAAGTAAAAACAGAAGTAGGAGAACTCATGCGCCCTGTCCAACCGTTATACCCTTTAGAGATTACTAATCACAACATTTTATTTAGCGATTTACACTTCAACGAAAGTTTGTGCCAACTGTTTCTGATAAAAGGAACATTCCTCATAGATATGGAAATGTTAAAAGGAACAGTCACTTTAAAGGAACTGATTTTGAACTAAAAACTAGATGTGGCAGAAAAATTTTTAAACCTTCTCGTTACAAGTGATTGTTACTTCCCTTGTACGAAGTAAAAAGGAAGTATTCCATTTGCGAAGAATTTCGAGTATCATATTTCAACGAAAATATCCATTTTGACCTCTGTCGAATGCAATTTACCTATGTTTTTGCGTGTCATCTATACGTAAGGACAGAATAAATTATTTTTTTTCCCCAAACGAATTATAAAACTGATTTAAAATAGATTCAGAGAAGATTTTTTCCGTGGCGTCTGTACGTACATACGTATGTATGTATCTCGCATAACTAAAAAAAAGAGTAGCATCAGAACGTTGAAATTTTGTATATAGGACTGCTATAACATGTAGATGTGCACCTCCTATTTTGGTTCTAATCGGCCGCACCAAAAGTATGTATGCAATAATAAAAGCACAAAGAAAAACTGGAGCAGTGTCGATGCTTGCTTAGATTCATATTGAAGAAATATTTTGATTGCGTAGTATGCTAATAATGTTAACTTGGTAATATCTAAAGAACTTGGCAGTCGAGGCAGTTTTAATTCAATTTTTATTTTCAATTGATATTTGTGGCCACAATCACTTAACACTCTAGTCGTGCCTTTCCACAGAAGATTTACATTTTTGATATTGTTGAGATAGAAAGAAAGCCAGCGAAATTACATCTTAGCACAGGAGAGAGCAAAGCTAAAGTGCGTAGTTATACAAAATGGAAGCACACGAAGAGATAAGTTTTGGTTTGCAATTTGATGATTGGTCAAGAGCCATCTGCATTAATTACGCAAGATCGCATGGTTAATTTGAATGACGCAGTTTAGACTTAAGCGCTATTTTAAGGACAGATAGATGAAGTTCCCAAATTAAATAGAAAATATAAGAGGTTAAAGTGAATTAAATTTAGAAGTTTGCTTTCATATTTTTATCTTACATGTATATCCACTCTGTCACTCGGCTGGGTGAGCTCAGTTTCTTTATTCGGTACTACAGTCAAAAGTATTTAATCCGGACTCGTCGGGACTTCGGCGATTCTGGATTATCGTTTTTTCCGGATTATAGATCATCAGCTTAAATCTGGTAAGATGGCATGCAGAAATTATAAAATTAAAAATACAAAACCGTAATTTATGAAATAAAGAGCAATTATGATCTAAAAGGTATCAAAATTAAAAAAAAAGCTTAATATTTATTTGTTTACTTTATCAAGCATTTCTTTCAACGTGCGCATGCATAAAGCATACATTCTGCATAGTCGAAAGAAAATTGCAAGCAGAAAACTATTTGATGTGTATTCGTGATATTTATAATGACGAGGAATTTGATTTAAATCGTATCAAAGACGGAGTACATCGAGATGAAATACTACATTTAGTAAGGAGTTATAAGCCAAATAAAAGAAAAACATCTGCCCTGAAGATAAGGATAATGCTGGCAGATCAACTTCCAGTTCATTGCGCGCCGCGACGTCCCCCCCCTCAGAGCAGCGTGAAATTGATAAACAGATTTTGGAATGGTTAGAGAAACAAAGGATATGCCTTTATCCATTTTTGCAGCAATTCCACTTTTTGTTTGATGGACATCGAAACATGCTTTCGCTTTATAGATCCTGTGGCAGCACCAGAATCAGAAATTCTTTTTGACATAATCGAAAGTTCAAGCTTACTTTTATAAAATTGCTGTATTAGTCTGGACATGTTGTTGTGCCCACTGCAAACGATCCCTCCTATGGCGTGACGTGAGCGGCACGCAAATGGCTGGTCGCCTCGCATACAGACCACCTTTGTGAAGCCTTCTACGCACAGTTAACGTTGACACCAACCTTCCGATCGCTGCAGCAAGGGAGGATCTAAGAAGAGTAGCGGTTCTATTCCTGAGTGCACATAATGTCAAATATGGGTCATTGGCGCTCGTCGTAGCAGTTGGCCATCCTTGGCTGAATCGTAGCAGTTGGCCATCCTTAGCTTCTAGGTGCCGAATCTGTGATTTGAAATTGGCTCCAAGGTCTATAACCACAGAACTCACATTTAACCATCTGGCCACTTCTGTTTGATTTTGTACTGCCTCCAGTCTTCCAGTGGCTTTCTGTCGTAGTTCTGCAGGCAAATGATGCCTGGAGATCATTGTTACGAACTGGCTATCTCAGATTTCTGATGTCACTATCATAGTAAAATATTTGGGCTTGCTCTCAAACATGGACTTTTATGCTTCTCGCAGATGACGTATTCCGAGTACAGCTCCACTAATTTGCATATAGCAGTTTTACTCAGCTACTCTTGCTTGGAAACATATACAAATGTTACACGGTTTGGCTTATTTTTGACGGAGTTATCTCTATTTTTGTGATTTTTCCTTAATTTATGATAACCAGTATATATTACACATCGTTGAGAAAATATAAAAATGAAATTAAAGGCAATTTTCTGGCAGAAAGTCTGAATATACAAGTGCACTGACAGGACCAAACAGTCGTCTTGTTATATTGCGTTTAATTTCGCTTTGCGTTAATATATAGTTGGTAATTTTATATTTAATTAGGATTGAGTGAAATTTATACCTTGCGAAACTACGAATGGAACTGAAGTATTAAAGTCTACTGAAGTATTAAAGGAGTAAAAGTCACAATTTGTTTCTAAATTCTTTATAAAACTCAAAAACTAGCAGAAACCCGAGCTATCTGAAAGCACAATGAATTCTTGAGAAGTAAATGAATTGGGGAAACTTATTCTTATAAATTTATGTAGTCGTTATGTATGTGTTACTATTTTATGTTTAAGGTAAGTCGTATTCTAAGAATTTATATGCGTGTATAACAGTATATTTTACTTTAAATATTTTATTTTACGCAAGAACATCACATTGCAGAATATAAAATTAAAACACTATTTTACATAATAGAAAAGGAACTAAAACCAGAACCACTAGTAAATCTTCTTGGACGTATTATCGTTGCCTCGTAAACAGTCACATAAACAAAAATTATCCCTTAACACTTCCTAGAAAATATAAATAAAAATTATCCCTTAACACTCCCAATTCAGATTCTTTACTACAACAAAGCCTATCTGGAAATTTGCTCTTGGATTGATAACTATTGCCGAGGAAATTACTAACCTGTTATTGAATAAATGTGGTGTAGTCTGTGTGAAAATTACTTGGTTCATTTTAGAGAATTCATAATTTAATATTAATTCATTCATTTAACTGTTAATATGTTAAATTACTGCTATTTTTTAAGTATTGTGCCTGTGTGCAGATTCAAATTACGAGATATAACTTGCTTATTATTTAAATTTAAACAAATTTAAATTTTAACAAACATGTATATATGTAAAAAAGCAAATTTAAAGTTAAAATTAAAAAATATATGCAAACATAAAAGAATTAATTTTTGAACTAATCTACAATATCATTTAAATTCAGATAGCATAAGTAAATCAAGTGCAAAACCAAACATGAAAATAAATTCACCAATTTAGCAATTAAAATTAATCTAAAAAAAAAAAAAAAAAAAATTAAATGCTAAAGTGAATGACTGTTGAGCAGGCAGGAGACAGACTTATCAAGGGGAAGTTGCCTCCAAACCTAACTCTCGAGAATCGAGAATCATTCAATTCGTGTTTTGTCATTCATGCAGGCGAGGGTAAAAGTCAAAACCAAAAGTAAAAAGTGAAGAATGTCCAAAAAGAAATACCAATAAAGTGGTACCTTTAGAAATTAACAATTAAAAATTAAAGCTCTAAAAGGAAAATACCAATGAAGCCTTGTGAGAAATAAGCAATGTAAAGTCAAGTATTAAATTAAACTTTTTAAAAAATTTAAATTTTTCAGAAAAATTAATTCAGAAACCAGTGCATTTTAGAAATGCATTTTTTTAAAAATTTTAACTTTAAATTTGCTTTTTTATGTATATACATGTTTGTTAAAATTTAAATTTGTTTAAATTTAAATTTCATTCCTTGCAGCAATGGCGCAAAGAATTAATTAAATTTGTATTTAAATTAAATTTATTTAAATTCAATTTATTCTTATGAAACTATTTTGCTTATTATTTAAATACTTCTGAAATTATATGTGATATATGTTTAAAAATAAATTTCAAATGGAACGGATGAGGAATTGGGGTGTTAAAAATCTGATTATCTCTGTCGTAAATTAATAATTTTATTAAATAAAATAGAGTGGTGCAATTTTATGAAAAGGTGATATTTTTTCAAAAATTCATTACAGGAAAATTATTTAATTCTCATTACCAATACAAAAGTTCAGAATTTGAAGTATTGAAAATTGAACTGAATGTTTTCTAAGTATCATTTTAATTTTCTGGATACTAGAGCAACTGAAAAAACAAAAAGTTCACAATATTGGTACATTACTTTTGTTTTATCCTTAAATAATTTGATTTAGTTGGATTAAAATTAATTTTTTTTTATAATCTGTAATGAATTTCTCTTTTATCTTTTCAAAATTTTCATTTTATGGCTCATAATAGTGAAAAATGTAACCTGAAAATTTAAAAGCCATGTACCATGTATCGATTGTAACTAGCACATATATATATAAAACATTAATGCTATTGAAGGCATATTATTTTCATCTTTACTTCTGTTCAATTTTGAGAGATTTCTCTTAAATATTTATTATTTAGCTATGCATAAAAAATATTTTTTGAAACAATATCTCTTTTATATTTATAGGTTTAGCTATGCAAAGGAGTAAAAGAAAGTATAAATCATCTCACAAGGATGCACATTCTTCTACTTATGTGAGTTCAGATGAAGATGATAGAAAAAAGAAATATATTTCTAATGAAAGGAGAAGAGATTTTTGTACTCAAGAAGAAGAAAAGTCTAATAAGGATCAAGTATATATGGAAGCACTTCGTCCAAACTTTCCTTGGACAGATTATCGCAGGACCCTGAATAAAATATTTTTTAATGATAGAGGGAAGATAAAAAGGTATCCACATACATTTTGAATATCTTTAAATATCAGAAAATTATTGAAACTGCATTATTTTTGCAGCTGTTTCTCTTTGGCATGGTACTTTACATTTTTAATTGCCAAGAATTTTATTTTAGTTATAAAAATTAATTAAAAAATATTAATTTTTTAGTTTATGATAATGAAGTATAGACATAAGATTATAGAGATTTGTGCCTCTGTATTGTGCTCCTGTGCGAGCTAATAAACATCAAGTGTTGATAATATAACTGGGGTAATTATATACGTGGATGAGAGAAGGTGAGTTTGTAAATTTTAGGTAGCTATTGGACAACTTTAAACTTTATACTTTTATTGCTTATGCTATTTTCTTCCACTTAGAACTTAACTTGGCTGTTTGAAATGAAATTTACATCCAAAATTACTCACGAGAAAAAGCACGTTATTTGAATGACTCGTGTAATGTCTGCACCTGCATTTTAGTGATGTAATTTTAGGAAAAAAAGTGTGTACATTACATGAATGTATACAGTATCTCAACTTTATGTTTCAAAAGTTATACAGTGCAAAGTCCAAAATCCGGACTCGTTGGGACTTCTGCGATTCCCGATTTGGGATTTTTCCGGATATTAGATCATCAGTTTAAATCTAGTAAAATGGCATATAGAAATTATAAAGTTAAAAATATAAAATCGTGATTTATGAAATAATGAAGTATTTATGATCTAAAGGGTATCAAAATTTGCACAAAAAAAGCTTAATATTTATTTGTTTACATTATTAAACATTTCTTTTAATGTAAGTTGTGTAAGTTGCTTCATTTTTTTGTGCTAATACTTTCTCTTTAATTCTGTAGACAGACATAATCTCTTGTTTAGTTACATTCTGTAGCTGCTATTCCGAGAATTCCGACTAACTTGTCAATCGAAATTTTCTCGTTTTAGTAACTTCTCTGTCACTTCTTCACTATCGGTAGCGGTATTTTCTGGATTTAGAACCATACTACAGATTTTGCCATTCATTAATTGATTGATGATTGAGAAGCATTGTTATCACAATGAAAAACTTCTTTTATATCATCTTCATTTATTACCACTTCTCCACATTTAAAAAAAAAAAAAAAAAAAAAAAGAAATTCGTTAATTGGAAAATTTCCCCTTTGCTTTGCGATATACAAAACCGTTAAAATTAGCGGCTATCGTCGTCAAATTTAGCTATTCTTCACTATACATATTTGGCTATGCATCATGAGCTTGACGACTAATGACAAGTTCTTCCATTAAATTTTATCTTGCTTCTATTGCGCTCTGAGACAATTAAGCCTGAATTGTATTAGTTTAGTTATTTATTATATTTGTGTCTATTTCTTGCACATGCTTAAGGCTTATCAGAATTCTGAATAAATAAATTCGGTACTATTCCGTTTTGAGGACCGTAAAAAATCGCCAAACTATTGTTGATGCCAGAGTGCTGCCAAAAATAATTGCGGCAACCCTAATGCAATAAAGGAAGTATAATAGTAAATAACTATCTAAGATTATTGTTTTAATTTAGATGAAAGGTTAATTTCATATAATATTTTTTTATTATTATAATTTATATAAAAAGGCTAAATATAATTGAATGGAAGCATAAGAGTAAATAATTATTTCAGATCATTACAATTTATATAAAAAAAGGCTAAACATAATTGAATGGATTCCTGCATCACTACTGAGTTATCGCTAAAGCATAATTTCATCTCGTTGGTTGTTCAAACATAATTTTCCATAATGAATGATGCCTTTTCTTTGAAAAAATTCTAGTGCAGACTTTTCGTCACTGGGCAATTCCAAAATTGTTAAATCCATAGTGTTATCAAAAAAGGATTTACAAATTAAACTAGTGTTTCAATGGCGTCTTAAGAAATATAGAACTATCTAAACTTACGCAATTTGAAATCAGCGCGTGTGCTAGATTTGGCTCGCTGTTAAGTGGGCGTGTTTGCTAGATTTGGCGCTTTTGCGCATACATTTTCGCGGCAATTTTTTTATGGTCCTCAAAACGGAATAGTACCTTAAATTCCTACCATATATTTAAGCAGTATATGGTGGGCTGTTTATTGAGGGCCGGTGCTAGATATCTTACCACCTTATGCAGTCTCTGTGGGCCCTAAATTCTGTGATTTGATGCGGCCATATGTGCCCTGGTGCTGGTTCTGGGTTTATGTGAATAACAAATCAGTTATTCTTAATTTAAATACCGCTAATGTAATCTTTGGGTCTATGAGTATCATCAACAAAATCTATTTTTAGCATATGAAAAGAAATTTTTGTTAAAGTTTTCCCCGTGAACATATTTTTGTGTATTTAACTTAAATCTGTAATCATCGCCAAGTGTAATGTCAACATAAAAGGTTACTGCACTCCTTTATTATTTAATTACTAACATAGAAAAAATTGTCTAGGTATCGCTACATGAGTCATTACTCAAGTTGTCATGTTTTGATAAACATGCGGTGATGAAAGGAAAGCATAATGAATAATTATTCACCAGGCTGGCATCAGATCAACGATGTATCTATGTGGAATGTTTGGGTTTGAGATGTATGCCAAGCAGATATGTAGCAATGGAGCCAAATTACTGATCGTACAAATTTATGGTAAAATGATTGTCTTTTCAATAACAAGGTACTATTTTATTTAGTGTCGAAGTGAAATTGAGAATCGGGACTCTCCAGATGTTTTATTGTGTGCAGAGGGGGAAATTAAATGTGCATGCTTATGAGAAAACGGTGGTGGTGGTTCTGAGGTGCGGATTTTAGATCATTCCGGATAATGGACGTCCAGATTTTGGACTTTGTACTGTATATCAGTACATACACTCTGTATTTGAATGAACTAGCATGGGGTAATTATATAGATTTAAAGCAAGAAATACTGTTTTAAAATGACTGCAGAATTAGGTATAAAAAATGAACATTTTTTTCTTGTAAATTCTTAAGATGTTAAATTAACAAAAGGCAAAGTTTTTTGTTTATCATTTAAAATAATTTTGTAATCATTCTTAAGCTGCCTTTTAGGATCCCAAGTTTTAAAATAATGTTATGCTTCTTTTGACTCTCTCTTTCTCTCTCTCTATATATGTTAGGCTTATAGCAAAAAGAAACTACAAGTGAATATTGCTGTATTGATCGGGTAAGGGTGATTTGCTCAGTGGTGTAAGAACATTTAGCTTATAAATAAAAGGGGACTATTATGTAATGATAAAACCTCAAGCATTCAATCAAAAATTTATAAGCTAAGTATAAAAAAAGAAAATATTGGAAAAAATTTTTGGATGTAGTAATATTTCTAAATGGTAAAAAGCAGAATAGCAAGATTCATATAGCCAAGTAAATGCCAATTAAAAGTTGAATTTACTTTTAGAACAATAAAGTATTGAATCTGTTTAACTCTTAAAACTAACTATGGGTAAATAGTCATAATTAAGATATGAAAGGAAAAGGAACAGATATAAAAATGTGTAATGTGCATTCTTATGCCCTTTTACATTATCTTTCCTTCCATATTCATCCTATGTTATGACTGTTTTTACTGAGCTTATAAAAGTAAAAAGAATCCAGTTCTCGAACTAATTTTCAAGTAAATTCTTTGTGCAATTGGCATTTATATGGCTCACTGTATGAAAACAAATTTTATTATTCTGCTTTTTAATTCTTAAAACACTGCATCCAACTATTTTCTTGTTTTCTATGGAAAATTAATTTTTCCTTAGGTACTTAAAAATTTATGGATCTGATTAAGTGCTTGGAATTTTAACACTGCGTAGTTATGAGCTTTTTTTTATTTATGGTGAAACATGCATGTAATGTTTGAGTAAATTTTACTTTTAATTGATGTGTAACAACAATCTATGCTTGCAATTTCTTTCCTGAAGGCGCAATTTATTGCTTAACCCCTTAACTGCCGTGGGCGTATATATATGCCTTGCTCAGCCGATGCGTTAACTGCCCCCCGATGCGCCCAGATGCACAGCCGATGCGTTAACTTTGCGAATAATTTTAGGTGTAGCAGCGCAAAGCAAATGATAGCAGTTTGGAAGGACGTATATATACGCCTGGGGCAGTTAACGCATCGGCTGAGCAAGGCGTATATATACGCCCGCAGCAGTTAAGGGGTTAAATTGTTTTCTTCATATTTTTTATGGATAATTTTCTTTTAAGGAATTCTCCTGAATATGATGAGTTCTGGTTGTTTCTTAGCAAATATCAGAAGGTGCAGCAAAAGGCAGCTATGAAAGAAAAGCAATCTAGAGAAGGTTATTGACATTTTAATTATTTAAATATATTTTATTTGTTGCATTTTGTCTGAAATCCATGATATTTATATATTGTAATGGCCAGTTAAGTAGGCTTTTAGAGTAGCTCATTAAATTAACTTCTGAAAAAAATTCACCCTTCTTTATGGGGAAAGTGCAGAATCGCCCACTGCTTGGCGCGTTTTTAAGAATTGCACACACTCGGTATCCATGTACACATTGTATTTTTCACTTGAAAAAAAAATATCCCAGAATTGCACAAAAATGGCATTGCACACTCCCTTGGCTTTATCCGTGTACACATCGACCTATTTTCACTTAAAAAGTCAAAGAAAATTGACAAAAATCCAATTCTTCTTACTTTTGTAAAAAGTGCCAAACAAACGCCAATCAAGTAAGTGGGTGATTCTGCACTTTAGCCAGGTTTATTTAAGAAACTTCATTTTCTATTTAAAAGAATCAGATAAAAAATATAATCTTTTAAATTTCTTTATTTTAAAATTTTTTTATGACTTTCCTTAAAATTATTAATTTTAGTCACTAAATGTTTTAGAAATTCAATTAGATATATTTTTATCAATGTCTTCGTGTCTTTAAATATAATGCTCTGATTAATATTTTCTTTGATTTTACAAAAAAAAAAGGGGGGATAGCAAATTCTGTTGTTCAGAGAATTATTAAATACTATTAATGCGACTTTCATAAATGTAAAAAATTGAAACTTTACATAGAAAGCATATTCCAGATTGCATCAGATTAGATTATTAAGATCTTGTATCAAACTACCAGTATAATGTGATATTACTACTCAGCCATTGTTTCACTGAGTATTTTTCCAGAATTGTTCATTCGTAAGTAGAATAAGTTATCAAATGCTGAAGAAATGCATAGTAGGAAATAGGATTTGAGATTTTTCCACATCTTAGTAAAAATGAACATCAGGTTTTCCTCTATGCTGGCAGGAGTTTTGCATTTCATAATTTTTTCGTTGCTCTGAAATAATTTTTAGTAGCAGTATATTTTTTACTGTAGTATATTATAAGTATATATTGTTTTTACTTCTCTGAATTGTAAGTAGTACAGTATGATATCTGAATTCAAGACTTACCAGGATTTTAGCAATTCGGGATATTTGGAATTTCTGGATTTTAGATCATGAGTTTAAAATTAATAAGATGGATGTCAGATAGAGATTATAAAATTGAAAATGTAAAACAGTTTTTGTGAAATAATGAACCATTTATGATTTTAATGAAATCAAAATTTACAGAAAAAACTATATTTATTTGTTTGTGTTATTAATCATTTCTTTCAATGTTATGTTTTAAAGCTGTTTGCATTTCTTGTGTTAATTTTTTTTTGTTTAATTTTTTAGATGCGCATAATTTCTTGTTCTGTTACAAAATTCAAGTCTTGTAGGTGCCATGTTGACAATTCAGAATAAATTATCATTCGAAATCTTTTCATTCTCAGTCTTTTAGTTACTTTTGTCACTATCAATAGAAATATTTTCTGGATTTGAAACCATATTACATTTTTGGGTTTAAAACATACCATCACCATCCATTAGTTAATTGCTCACTGGAACATTTCTATATTAATAGAAAACTTCTGTTATGTCATTTGCATTTATTATTGCTTTTCTGCATTAAAATTTTGCTTTCTATAACTTTCAAAATCTATGCTAAAATATGGTTGCTGTTTTGTCTAATTTTGAAATTGCACTTTCTTAAGCCTGAATTGGAGCTAGCGCCCAGGGCCACTATAGAAGGCAATTACCAAACGTGGATTTGCTTTGCAGATCCTACTACAGCATCAGAATATCTTAATAAAATAAAACGTAATAAAAAATTCAAGCTTTGATTTTTGTAAGATAGCTATAATAATAGTAGTCTTCAGTAAATAATGAACTGCATCAAAATAGTTAACACGTTGAGCACGGCACTGAATTTGCTGTACTTTCCGTTCAGCTGGCAGCGAGCTAAGCCGTATTTTTGTTTAGAATGTTTCAATACATTTCATTAAAACTAAATATGATCACATTTCATTGAGACTATATTTATTTTTTAACTTTAATACTGTCGGTCCAGCGGACCGACGCCAGCCAAAGGAAAATTCCAGTGCTGGTCCCCAGGGACTGACGGCGGCCACTCGGAAAGTAAATTTCATTACACGATGACACTGCCGGTCCCCAGGGACCAGCGCCGTGCTCATCGTGTAATGAAGAGAGCAATTTAACTATTTAACTGAACTTAATTACTTCTGAATTTCATTCTTTCTCACTTTCCGCTGTAATGTCAACAAAAGAAAACAAATATTAGAAACACCTCACTCCAAACAGTGGAACTTGACTTATAGTTTAGGTCAGATATCAAAATATTACTCCCTTCTCCCAAACCCCACAGTTGTTCAAAAGCCAAAAGTATGATGGAGGCTAACATTAGTCAAAATATTTTCATTGGCAATGATGGTGTGATTCTCTGACCAGCAGGTGTTTGAAATTAACATATAGAAATATTAATTAATTCAGAGAAAAATCACTTTTATGATGCATTTGCTTTTCCTCGAGTACTGAATTCTGCATTCCTAAATTTTTTTTAAGAAAAAGAAAAAAAAAAAAAAAAAAAAACTACTGCTCTGTAGCTCCATATATTAATTAGATCATTCTGAATATTGGACCCCTAAATTTCGAGCTTCGTTCTGTATATTTTTTTTGAACATGATTCCTTGATTGAAATATAATTTTATTTCATGTGTGATTGCCCAATATTAGAACCTTTGTTATACTTTTGTATGGAATTGCAGGAATACCTTGCCTGTACCACTTTATTTATTTCTTATAGTAATTCATAAGCTGAGTTTGTTAAACAAGGTATCATTATTTTTATGAATTTTGCCTGTCAGCTATGCCTTGACATGATAATGATGTGCTACAAAATGATCATTTTGTGCTAAATTTGAAATTCTTTAATCTTTATTTTAAAAATGCAAGTTTTTTTTAGTACTCAAAAATGTATCTTGGAATTTACAGTAATTTTTTTTTCCTTCAATAATATGAAATATAGGCAGGTGCTTACATACTATGATCACTACCTAGATATCTTGCCAAAATTGGCGACCCTTGTAGGGTATACTATTTAACCCTAACATAGGTTATAGAAGGCACTAAAATAAAGAGTATTATCCTGCACTAGCTATTACCACACCTTTTTTTGCTACATTTACGTGGATTGTTACGTTTAGGTAGCAACTGATCATTGCCCCTGTCATTCTTGACAGTGATGTGGCTAATAACTCATCATTGCCTAGAATGATTATAATGCTTGAAGCCTGGAAGAACATGATCTTAATGCAGTATTGTTGCAAACTGTGGGAACGTTAAGAAAAATATTGTTTATGATGGGAGAAACACCCAAGAAAAGAAAATCACTAAAAAGATTCAAGAGATGACAAATGATGATGTCTGAGAACTGAAATTCTAATTATTGATTAAATTTAACTATAAATACACATTGTATTTCATATTCCTTTACAGAGCATGCTAATTATATTTTCTTTTAGGTTTACCTGGAAGTATTTGTGATAAACTAAAGCCAAAGTATGAATTTTCAATTGATTCAAAAGAGTTAGATGATATGATGATGCGTGGACACTTGTTTCATGATGACAGTGAATCTAGTTTGACTCGTGATCACATTGTTGAATTTGCATACATTATCAAGTTATATTTTGATTGTCTCAAAAAGCAACATGAAGATAAAATAAAGAAACTCCGTGAAGCACAGGCAAATTTACCCATAAGCAAATATAGAAATGATATATTAAAAGCTGTTGAAAACAACCAAGTAGTTCTTGTTGCTGGTGATACTGGATGTGGAAAGTCAACACAAGTACCACAGTATCTTATGGCAGCAGGTTATGATAGTATAGCTTGCACTCAACCACGGAGAATTGCTTGCATATCTTTATGCAAAAGAGTTGCTTATGAAACTTTGAATGAATATGGCTCTGAGGTTGGGTATCAAATAAGATTTGAAAAAAGTAAAACAGCTCATACAAAAATTTTATTTTTGACTGAGGGTTTATTATTAAGACAAGTATCAACAGATCCAATGCTGTCTATGTATAAAGTTGTTATTTTAGATGAAGTACATGAAAGACATCTGTCTTGTGATTTCTTATTAGGCATAATGAAGTGCTTAACTGTGCAAAGACCAGACCTTAAAATACTTTTAATGTCAGCAACAATCAATATTGAGCTGTTTTCTGAATACTTTTCCAACTGCCCTGTTATTCAGGTAAGATGTATCAATTTTGTATGTTATATTTTCTGTATATTAAATTTAAGTCATGCATTTGCAAACCTTTTCTCTAGCTAAAAGAAAGAACAGAGCAAAAATTTTAAAAATATGTATTATTCTTATGGTTCTGTATCCTTTAAACTAGTTTTTGATGTAGTACGCTTTACTATTATTAAGACATTTGTCATGCCATGGCCCCTGCTTTCGCATCTGTTGCAATAGAAATTTGCTATACTTCAGTTTTTATGTCTTTACAATTGTATTGTTTTCCAGCATGGAATATCTGTAGATATTGAGAAAGGTAAAAGTCGATTCCATGGCTGGTATCTAGGGACTTGATTTAGAAGTGCTATGCCAGTCTTGCATCCTTTAAAAACTGAGTTTTCTGTCAAGGACATAACCTGAATCTCTGCCATGGGAGAACAATGCTCTACCAGTCGTCACAAAAGAGCTCACATGTGGCAGTTTCAAGAATTACAACTTTTTTGAATTTGCGAGCATTGACTAACTCATGCAGACGCTGTAGCTCCTTTTCTCACCATCTGTAATGTAGTATTAGTAGATACAAGTTGCAGCCATAATTTGTGCCTATATTTTTTAGTCCATGACTGCAAGCACTTTGCACTGATATATTTGATCATTGCATTGTTGGATTTTTGTGCAGCTCTATTTGTTGGACGTGATGTGTGGCCCTTTTGTACACTCGCAGAGCGAGGTGCTGTTGGTGCACGAGCGTCTAATTCATCAATTCTGTAGGTGAGCAGATGGAGGAGGTGTGTGTTCTTATCACGTTCAGGTCTCCATTGCGGTTGTCCATGGAGCAGTTGCTTTCCAGTGTCTTCTAAGGCTACCAGCAGTGACATCTAGGGACTTAAATTTGAAGTCCGATGCCAGAGTCTCATGCTCTTTGAAACCCAAGTTTTCTGTCAAGGACAGAACCCGAGTCTTTGTCAGGGGAGTGCATATTCTACCAATTGCCACAAAAGAGCTGTTATATGACAATTTCAAGAATTAGTACTATTTCAAATTTGTGAGCATTGCCTGTCTCATGCGGATGCCATAGTTTAGTGTCATTTTTATAGCATGCATAGTGCTTGGAAAAATTTCTACTTTGGATTGGTCAAGTCAAGCCTTTTGATAGCCTTCTTTCTTAATCCATCATTTAATTAATTGTGAGAATGCATTTGATCAAATTATGATTTGACCAAATTCAGTACTTGCACATAAAAGCCACATTCTGGCAAAAATATTATTTTCGCTTTTACTTTATAAACTACTAATTTCTACTGTAGTGATCAAATACATAATCAAATCTCATCAAATACATGAATTACACATTTGTCACTCAAAACTGTATAATCTGTAGTGTTTCAGCTTTTTTTTTTTCTTTATAATTATCTTGAATAATTTTTAAAAAATGAGTTCACTATGTAAATTTTGGTCCTGAGTGTTTTTTTCTAATTATCATTGTTTAATTCCATACCAGATTATTCTCAGAATTCTTGCGTTACTTACATATGATTATTTTTTTTTAGGTTCCCGGACGCTTGTTTCCCATTCAAGTAAAATACTGTCCTCTGTCGGTTGAAGAACAGAAAACCTTAACTGGAAAATTAAATCCTGCTCCTTACATTCGTATCATGAATCTAATTGATGATAAATATCCACCCGAGGAAAGAGGAGATCTTTTAATATTTTTAAGTGGCATGACAGAAATATCAATTGTTGAAGAAGCAGCTAAGTTATATGCTGAAAAAACTAATAAATGGATTATCCTTCCATTGCATAGCACTTTGTCTTTGGAGGAACAAGATAAGGTTTTTATCTGATCTTTTTATTTTTTCATCGATAATCATTAAATTTATTGCTGACACTTGATGTAATGCACTGTATAACAGAAAAACAGATTCACCAAGGAGTTATCTGAAAATGATGAAAATCAGTAGATATGATGTCTTCTCCCCCCCCCCCCGAAAAAAAGGGTTCAGTTCTATATCTCGCATTATACTGGGCTAATTGATGAAATTCAATTTGCATTTTACGTGTCTCGAAAATCCAGCTTAGGATGTATATTAGATTTATATATAGCATTGTCCTAACATAGGTATTTTGATACGAAATTGGACTTTTTCTGAAACGGCAGACCGATTTCTTTATTTCTGCATTTTGGTCCTATGCTTCAAATTATGCCAAAGTTTCAAGTTTATGTGAAAATCATCCTAGTAGTTTTAAAAAAATTAGATTCCAAAATTTTAGCTCCTCATTGTTAATTTAATATGTATATATTAATATCTTTTTCCTTCTTTCAGAATTTAGGTTCAGTCCGAATAAAATTCGTATTTTTTATGATTTGTATTTAAAATTGGCCCACATAAGTTAATGAAACTACATTCACAGGGAAGTTATGCCTTAGCATTGGAATGTCCTCTGTTTTATACACCATCTGGATATTCTGTTGCAGTGCACTTTAGCTCCAGCTAGTCATTGGCCACCAAAAGTTAATCATTGCGTATTCTATCGTAAGGTACTGTATTGGCATATGCAATTTTATCTAATTCAGATAACTCCTAACTCTTCCTACATCACTTTTTTTTGTTTTTAATGACTTCTTTAATATGAATGACACATTATTTGTTCTGTTTTCTGAAAATTACCTTAATTCTTCTTTATATTCACCTTTATTCATTACTTTATTTTTGTGGTTTATTATGTTATTCTTATTATTAATCATTTACAAGATGATGTTACAGATGTAATGATTAATGGACTCTAGGAACCTACTTTTTATTTGTCATTCTCCTGTCTTTTTATAAAGATTTTTGATAAGCCCGTTATAAAGAGTTGCCTTTTGTACTAAATTTATAGCTTGATGTAAAAGAAGCTGAATTGGGATAGGCTTCTATAATATTGGGTTCTAAGATCTTGTATGTTATAATGAATACACATAAGGCAATATTCATGTAATATACATAAATATGGAAATATGGTAGGTTCTTGTATTTTTTAAACTGGGCTTTCTCCAAAAGATGCATGTTAAAAATGAATAAAATCAAGAATAAACTGTATATTTTATTTTGCCTTTTTACATTAATATATATATTCTCTAACTTAAATTGACACTATAAGAAGAATTTTAATCACAAATAAACTGAATTCTAAGAATTGCACCTTTAGAAACTACACTGTGGTTAAGTGTCTAGTTTAGATTCATCAGCATGTTTATCAAATTAAGACATGATTGGGGTTATCACAAAGTAAAATTATTCTAATTTATACAAGAAAAAGTACAAGATCTTAAAAAATTATTAAATTTGCATTTGCCATTTTTTGTTCAATCTCTTTAGGGCATTTTACAACTTTACGATATTATTTATTGTCCTAGATAAACTCAATGTAAAATTGATAAATTAATATGCATTCAAAAAATATGAAAAGATTAAAATCAGCATCTTGTAGTCAGATCTGAAGTTACATTTTTAATTATTTGATTTTTCCACATACTTGTGACTATTTGAATTTGTTTCATGTGAAGTTTACTACTTTATTTATCCATGAGTCATCCCATAAAATGCTATTTTTTAGAATACATTTTAAAGAAATAAAAAGTAAGAGTGTAATATAATCAATAATTTTTTCTGGTCCATGACCCTCTAAAAAGTATTCATAAGGCAATGTGCCATATTCCCAAAAAAGGCAACCCATGGCATCACCAAAATGTATTTATGTGACAACCCAGGTACGCACATGTGCAGCAGATAATGGCTGATTTCCACCTTTAGATTCGATTATCATTTTACTGATAAATGTTCGTTCTTGTGTTTGAGTGTATTTTCAACTTGCAAGGATTTGTAATGGTACTGTGGAGATTGTCAGCTGGTGAAAAAGAAAGCATCATATTTACAAATATGACATTTTATCGAAAATTTAAAAATGCAAAATTTTATATTCCATGAAGGTGTACTACTTAAATGAATGAATTTTATGGATTGAAATTTGGGCTATTCTCTGATGTTTTTTAAGGGAAAACAGATTGCTGTGTACATGTGGGGGGGGGGGAGGAACGTCACTGTGCACAGTGTCAAGTTGTGTGTGATTTCAAGTTTGTGCAATTCTTTCATGGTTTTTGAAGCTAAAACAGATTGCTGTGTACATAGGGAGAACAATGCAAAAAGGGGTAATTGTTTTATTATCAGTGTTAGAAATTACTAAAAAGGTACAGTGTTAGAAATGTTAGAAAAAAGTAAAACTATTTTGGGTGAGCTCTTGCACAATAAATGAAATAGTTGTCACTGAAGATCAATAGATGAGTAGTTTGCAGTTTGGTCAACAGTATTCATGGATTAACCATCAGTATTATTTAACAGTTATACTTAATACAGTAAAACCTTTTGCCTCCCTTTTTTTCCAACAAGAATATTTAAAAAGTTTCATATATTTAGAGTACATGGATATTTTATCAAGAAATGAATGAATGGGAATTATAAAATATAACCATTTAATTCTCTCTTTTTTTTTTCTCTTTTTATATCTTTCGCATACAGAAAAGGAGGGATTCTTGGATTCTATGACAAAGCAATAAGAAAAGATATTGTACCTTTAGTTTATAGTATCATATACCGTATTTACGCGAATCTAATGTGCATCGTTTTTGGCCAAATGTAGTACTCAAAATTGGGGTGCGCATTAGATTCGAGTGCAAAGTTCGCCAATGACGTCAGCAGTTCGCCGATGACGTCAACCGAATTTAAATCGTAACAATGGATTACTGTATTTCTCGACTACATTTACCGTTACATTTATCGTTGACACATTATTGCATAGAGGATACAAACTGCAGAGTACGTAGTCACGAAATGGAGGGCAAGCAGAGAAGAATGTCATATGACGCTACTTTCAAACGTAAAGTAATTCTTTATCCTGAAAGAAATGGCAATAGAAAGGCTGGGAGAGAGTTAAACGTAGCTGAGAGCAATGTTCGCTTGTGGCGGCAACAGAAATTGGCACTGTTTGCAACTAAAAACTAGTAGAAAGAAATTCACTGACCCTCGCAAAGGAAGACACCCTAAAATTGAAGAAAAAGTTTTGGAATTTGTACGTGAAAGGAGGAAGAATGGACAACCTGTGACTAGCAACACTATAAGAAATAAAGCAAAAGAGGAGGCTGAAGTTCTTGGAATACCGAAACGAGAGTTTAAAGCTAGCTGTCGATGGTGGATCGGTTTATGAAGTGGATGGGCTTATTTCTAAGACGCCGTACAACAATATGCCAAAAGCTTCCTGCAGATTTTGAGGGAAAACTACTAACATTTTAGCGGTATGTCATCACACTTTGGAAGGAAAAGAATTTTTCAATGGGGCAAATTGGCAATGCTGACGAGACGCCAATTTGGTTTGATATGCCTCGTAACTACACCATTACGGAGAAGGGGACTAAAAAAGTTATCATCAAAATAGTGAATAAAGACATTTACTATTAATCACTGATTGTAGAAACTGTTAGCTAGATAGAAATGTTACCATTTATTTCATGTTCATACTTTACGATATGTACCGTATATACGGTAGTGGTAATTAACAATGGTTGTTTCACATAACAATAGCCCACTAATAGGTTAATTCTATGTTCTGTTACTTTATGTATAAATCCATTGTTGTATAAAATATGGTATCTAAATTTAAATAAAATTATCATACCATTGATTGATAGTTTATATACAAATCCATTGTTGTATAAAATAAGATTCAATAGATTGCCGACAAACAATTTTTTTATTATTTAAAGTTTTAAAATGGGGATGCGCATTAAATTCGATGGCGCATTAGATTCGCATAAATACAGTATACATTTTCACTGGATGACAGAGTAATAAAAATTGCACTTTTTTCTTAAAAATCAAAGCAGTGAATAAGCAGTGCAATTTCAGTTTGAAAAGTTCATGAATATTTTGCTTATTAGAATAGATGAGGAAAAATCAATTTTGTGTATATTTGGGCTTTTACATTCCACTGTATGATAATTCTTAAATTTGCTTGCACCTTAAATTTAAAACCATTCATCTTTGTATAGTAAATTTCTTTTGGACTGTGCTATATTGCAGGAAATTGAAACTAAGGATACTGAGTTAGATAATATGAGGCTATATATTTTGTTTATTTCTATATGTTCTTATTGCTTTTATTTAATAATTCTTTTAGGTGTTTGATATAGCTCCAGAAGGTGTTCGTAAATGTATTATTTCAACCAATATTGCAGAAACGTCTGTAACAATTGATGGTGTAAGATTTGTTGTTGACTCAGGGAAAGTAAAAGAAATGAGCTACCATCCTGTCTGTCACATGCAGCGCTTACAAGAATTTTGGATTAGCAAAGCAAGTGCTGAACAGCGTAAAGGTCGTGCTGGTATGATTTTTAAATATTTTCATTTGCATTGTTATTATTTAAATTGGTGCCGTTTACTCCCTTTTTATTAAAAAAATGCTCGTATGTGGTCTTACACTTATCTAACATTTCAGTAGCATTCAATGTGATTGCATCCATTATTTATTATTGTAAATCAAAATAGAAACTACATTATCATTTTTTTAACTTAATTTTTTTCCTTTTGTGTCATTCAAAAGTGTAGGGTTTCAGGTTGAAATAATGTAAAGCGACCTCTTTCCCTAATCATTTGGTTGTGTATTATCATCCTAATTATTTTAAATTCTTATTGTGCTACGTTATTATAGGCAGAACTGGACCTGGAGTTTGTTTTCGCATGTTTTCACAGAAGGAATATGATTCTTTGATGGCTTATACAAAACCTGAAATTCAGCGAGTACCTTTGGATTCATTACTGCTGCAGTTGTTATCCATGGGATTACCTGATGCAAGAAAATTTCCTTACTTAGAACCACCTGACCTTTCAAGTATTGAAGAAGCTCTCCAAAATTTAAAGAATCAGGTTTTTAATTACATTGTTTATCTTTAAAAATTAATTAGTATAATTAATTAATAGTGCAGTTAATATTAGATATGGAACTACTCTTATATATGCCCTCACTTGGCGACAAATTTCTTGCCAAATACTTTTGGCGAGCAACTTCACGGTGCCATATTACTATCTAAATTTTTTGTCTACATTCAAACTTTAAGCCTAAAATGTCTCAAAAATGCAGTTTTTGCACATGCAAAAACCATGTATTGAACACACAATTTAAGCTAAAAATCCGAAACAAAATCAAAAAATTTAGATAGCAAAAACATACAATTTCTAACCAAAAACATTTGACAAGAATCCATGTACACAGCAATATGTTTTAACTTAAAAAGACATCTACGAATTGCACAATCTAGGCAACGAACGAATCTACGAACTACGCACACCTCGCTTTAATAAATTAGCATAACAAGAATAAATTTCAAAGAATACCATGTATACAGCATCCTGTTTAAACTTATAAAAACATACAAATTGCACAATCTAGGCATAGCACACAAATCAACAAAATAAACTAAAATAACTAAAATTACAAAAAATTCAAAGAACAACAATAACAACAGAAGTTCATAGTAAAAAAGCAATGAACATAACATTCTACAAAATAAAAACAGTAAAATAAAATGCAGTTAATATAATACATTCGTTAACAAAATTTTGCCAGTCACACAACATCTGTGAACAAAAGTGCCACGATTTTGCTATATCACATGTCTTTCTGCAATTCAAAATTTCGAAGGTAACGATAAAAACTTCCTCTGAAGTCAACTTACTACTTGAAAACCACGATCCAAATCTTAAACTCTGCTGACAGCCACATACTTTACCAGCAAGCATTTAACTGCAAATCCACACAAGAACTATCGAAAACGCCCTTCTTCATCCGAGTTCTCATAACAGCTCCGCATTTCGGACTCCATTTTAAAAGTCCCATAGAAATTCCGAAAATACACTTCGATCTCATAAACACATCCATGAACAAAAGACTCGTTAACAATTCCAACATCGTACCTTTTAATACTAAATTTACTTTCCACACAATCTAAAATATGTGACTGAAATCTTGCCACCATGATATTATTGCAACATAGGCCATTTCAAAACACACACGACATGAACCAATGAGAAATGAAACCACTGCAGCAAAAGAGTTAAGTTTCAACGCCAAAAGGGTTGCCATACAAACATCGTCCCCAAAACCATCGCACAGCACCACAATCACGCCCGCCAAAAACCAGTGCAGAACATATATCACCACATTTGGTGATCTTAGGGCAATTATAAGAGTAGAACCTTAGATATAATTAAATTGGCTGTTACAGAGTTAGTAAAAATGGGGAAAAAAAAAAAAAAAAAAAAAATTAACATCTATATTTTTGTAAATATTCACACCATTCTATTAATTTTGTGCTTTTTAAGTGCTGTATGAAAAAGTGTTTTTAATTCCAGTAGTAAGGTTAGTTATGTTCCTGAAGAAATACAATTCAGTATTAAAACTGAGATTATTAAATTTTATTATTATTTTATCCTTTAATTTTACGTTTATAATTTTAATAAGTAAGTCTAATTTGTACAAATAGTTTAATACAATTTTTTTCATTCAAGTTATATTTCATTTCCAATTCAAATATTTATAACGGTTTATCTTTACAATATGGTAACTGGTAGTTTGGCGACATTTTGGAGGCGATAAAGGTTACTACCTGGGACTTTGGTAATAATGTGAGCAGTACTCAGTTCCGATTACGCATTATTTTGTGTGAGGGAAATGAGAGATCATGGGATATGTCATGTGATATTAATGGACGAATTACGGTTCTTTAATCGGAAAAGGGGGGGGGAAATCGGGAAAAAATCTGGAAATTTTGTATTTGGCTTTATTCTGTGTTGTGTGAAACAGTGTTCGTGAATTTTTGGATCCCATGGCCGTAACTAAAGAAAAGTTTATCGGACACGTAATCAAGATTCTGAAGAAGATTAGGTAAGTTAGTATTTTTAATTATTTGAGGATATTATTTTTATGCATTGTTCTAAATGTAAGGTGGAAGTAAAGGAATTTGGTATTATTGGGAAAATTGTTATTAGCAATGATTTAGTTTAAAGTAATTAGGATTGTAAGGTAATTTTTATTAATTTAATGTATGTGCTCATTTATATTTTAAGTAGTGTTTTTTGAATTTAATTATATTTTAATTAAATAAATATTTTTAGTTATTTTTTTAGTTAATTTTAGTTTTTTAGTCATTTTAAATTTTAGTTATTTTGTGAATTTTATGTTTGTAGGAATTTGGTATACATTATCAGGTAATTTCATATATGTTCTTTTTACCGGGTTTAAAAATTGAGAAAATTGTCATGTATTTTCGTGAAATTTTTCTAATTTATGAGAAAAAAGCAGTGTACATGGATGTAGTAAAGAGTGTGCGCAATGCCATTTTTGTGCAATTCTGGGATGTTTTTTTAAGTAAAAATAAGTCGACGTGTACATGGTTTAGTGATATTTTAATTAAATGATAGTTATTTTGTGAATTTTATGTTTGTAGGAATTTGGTATACGTTTAAGTTGAAGTAAACGTGCATGGAAATAATTTAAATATTTGATACTAAGTATTTGTAATGCTTGCGGTATGAATTCGTTGGTGACGTGTATAATGTAATAGATGATTTAGAGGTAAAAGTTTTTGGATATTTTATTTATTTTATATGTGGAAATGTTCATATTTGGAAAGGGTAAATACTTTTTCGCGATCAGGTAATTTCATATATGTTCTTTTTACCGGGTTTAAAGATTGAGAAAATTGTCATGTATTTTCGTGAAATTTTTCTAATTTATGAGAAAAAAAGCAGTGTACATGGATATAGTGAAGAGTGTGCGCAATGCCATTTTTGTGCAATTCTGGGATGTTTTTTTAAGTAAAAATAAGTCGGCGTGTACATGGTTTATGTGTATGTGTTATTTTGAAAAACGCGTAAGGAGTATGGTATTGTGCACTTTTTCCCAATTTTGCAGTGAATATTTGTCATGATTAAGCAGTTTTGTTAGATAAAATTTCTAGCATAAGTGTAATTCGGCTAGTAGATTGTTGGAAGAAGTGTTCAGTAGATAAAAAGAAAAGAAACATGTCTTTACTTCGTGAAGACAAAATGGCGGCGGGAAAAAAAAATAGAGGGTTGCTGTAGGAGAGTTGGTCGCCAAATTTTCGCCAAAAAAAACGCCAAGTTACCATAATGTAAAGATCAACCTTTATAACTTCTGTTTGTTTTTAGCTTAATAAAAGCATTTTACATCAAAAAATAGTGTAATCTTCTGTTTTTTAAAAAATTATCCTGCTTTTGTGTTATGTTTCTCAACTATGAAAAATATGTTCTATAAATGCATCATGCTAATTACTATATTCTTGGTGGTTGTTGCACTTAACTAGGTTATTTTAAGAAAGTATGCTAAGAACTTTGCTAATATTCATTTTATGTTCACAAAAGGCTAATATGTGATCAAATGGCCATACAGAATGGGCTAGCACATGATTTATTTTTCATTTTGTCATATGTATAACACCACTTCTTAGGCAGGTAGCTGATATGTGTTTTGTCATAATTAACTAGTTAGTACATTCATGAGCAAATGGCTTAAAATAGCTTCTGTTTTAAGTTATGTCTAACTAAATCTCCCCTTATCCATCAGTAGTGCTCGTTTACTGTTTTTCATTCATTAGACTTACTTTTTTGGCATACTACATCATCTGATGTTACCGTCATTTCTATCAGGCCACAATAGCATTATTGTACTGTCATGGCCTAATTCCATGTTGCTGTAGTAGTGTATATAAAAGTTTCATAATAGCATGGGCATTTAAAAGCTAATGAATTTCGTAAGAAGAAGGATGTTTCTGTGAACCATATACAGTGTCATTTGTTAATTTGAAGACTGCTGTATGGAGAAACTTGCTTTATGTTAATTCAGTATGAACAATAATCATTTAGCACAATTAACTCATTTGAAATCTGTCAAAATGTTGGTAAAGTGTTTGCTTGACAAAATTAAAAGTGTATTTTGGATAGCTTTGCTTAATTGTTTTGTATTTTTCTTTAAAAAGAGAGAGAGTTAAATCAAATATTCAGACGAAATAAGTGTATAAGCAATTACTTTTAATTAAGTTCGATGATTTTATCATGTTATCTAGCCTAATTCGCCCCTCCCCTGATTTACACTAAGAATTTTCATCTTTTGTATTATAATCTATTAATATGTCATTTAGTATTCATTTATTGAAGAATTAATTGCACTGTTTTCCTGTGTTTATTAGAATGCATAATATCAGGCACAGTTGGGGTGTTGTGTATTCTTTTGATGGGTAATTATTTCACAAGACTATTAAACTACATGCTACTTTATTATATACAAAAGATATCATCTTCGCTTACACATGTATCCTATAACTATGCACATTCCTGTCTTAGTTGTGATTTACAACTACTTCGCATGCTTGCGATGCTTGGCACAGTGCCAGCTTTAAGTCCGATTATGATTAAGTTCTCGATATACCACATCCTTTCCCCTTTTTCACAACTGCAATCTATCTGGGAGATGTCCAATTCTACTGGATCGGTGCAAAGGTTGTGGCACAGCAGGCTTCTTTGGTAACCTGCTTGTATCAGCAGCAGGTTTGGTGGATGGAACATCTGGTAAAACCATAGGCTGGGAAGATGACACAGACTCATCTACCTGCTGTCTATTATCTTTGGATGGTTCTGGAACTCCATTGTTATCAGGCTCTTTGGAATTAACGAGAGTTGGAGGTGGACGTATGAACCCTTCATCTGTTATGGTTCCTCCATCACGCATCTTATCGATATGTCGCCGCCATAGCTGACCATCTACATTTATAGTGTAATGAAGCTACTCATCTTTGGACTGGACAGTTCCAAATCTCCATTGTTTATCACCTTGATGAATTTGAATTTCGCTCTTTAGCATTAGCATTGCAGGGCTCTGTAGAGTAGTGTAGAGTAGTCAAATTCGGAGCTTTTCTATATTGCATCAAAAATGTACTGAGTTTTTGGCTCAAAGTTCCCAGATAATTTTGCATTGTTCTTAAAGATTGTTTTACTGTAAACACATACCATTCAGCCTGCCCATTACTAGAAGGTTTAAATGGTGCTGTAGTTTTTTGTTTGATTCCATTACTCTGCAGGAATATCTTAAACTCATGTGAAGTGAATTGTGGTTTGTTATCACTCACTAACAATATTGGTAATTCGAATCGTGGAAAAAAGTCCCATAAACATTCTATTGTTTTGAAAGTCGAGCTTGATTTCATTGGATAGGCATCTAGCCATTTTGAGTGAGAGTCAACTATTATTAAAAACATATGCTCAAAAATAGGTCCTGCATAATCGATGTGAATACGTTCCATTGGAGCGCTCAGATACTCCCAATAACAAACTTTTACCTTAGGAGGATCTATTTTATGTTTTGCACATTCAGAACAGTTTTTAGCAGTATGTTCGATATCTTTATCTATACCATTCCGAAAACACATAAGATCTAGCGATTGCTTTCATCTTTATAGTCCCTAAATGTCCGTGGTGTAACTCTTTCGAAACGTTCTCATGGTATCATTTTGAAATACACACGCATTGACCATACATTATACAGTCATCTTAGAGACTGTATTCCATCTCCCTTCCTTTCAATTCACTGCCTTTTGGAGTATTTGTAGGAGAGGATTGAGTTCTGCATCAATTTCAGTTTCTTTAGCCAAATCTCTGGCAGTGATTGGAAGAGTTTCAATCTGTTGTAATTGCAAAATAGTTACATCATTCTGAAGACAGTTGCTCTGAGTTCGTAATCGTGACAGAAAGTCAGTATTACCATGCTCGTTTGTTTGAAAGTAAAAAATGTTGAATTGGAATGACTGTAAAGCCAAAGCGTAATGCATGAGTCTTCTTGTTTCCAAAATCTGGCCTTTCTTTGAGCAAAAAATTGCAACAGAGGTATATGATCTGTAATTAGTGTAAGTTTCCTCCCTTTTAAGTACAGAACAAATTTTTTAGTTCCCCAAATAAATTACAAAGCTTCTTTATCGGTTTGAGAATATTTTTTCTCCGTTTCAGTCAGTGTTCTAGAAGCATATGCAGTTGGCCTTTCTGTTCCATCAGGAAGTTTGTGAGAAGGTACTGCATCTAACCCCATTGATGATGCATCAGTTGCCAATGTTAAAGGTAATCTCGGATCATAATGCATCAACACTTTTGCATAATAATGCATCAAAAAACAATTCTTTTTTAATGTTTAGAAAAGCCTCTTGACTATGCTTCGTCCAAATCCATCTGGAGTTTTTCTTAGTTAGATGGTATAAGGGATTTGCGATTGATTGTTGCATATTTAGGGCAAAATTAACGAATCCCAAAAAACTTTGAATTCTGAACAGTGCCAGCTTTAAGTCCGATTATGATTAAGTTCTCGATATATCACATGGGGCAAAATACAATTGCTATTCCAATGTAATTGTAATTAGACTAAGTAATTGCAGCTATATTGTAATTGTGATTAGATTATGCAGCTTCTTTATAACAAAGTAATTGTGAAATCTAATTGCAGTTACAATGTAAATGCAATATATAATCTAATTTCATTACAGTGTAATTATAATTGCTGCAGTTAATTATTATTATGTAATTAGGAAAGTAACTTAACATACTAAGTTGAAAAATATCTTATAGCTAACAATTTTCAAATATGCGATAGTATACTTGAGTGTATGAAAAGAGCTACTCATACCTGCATGTAGGAAAAAAGCCAACATTATAACTGTACTTGTAATTTTTAACATTTAAATGACTTTTCACATATAATTCATCTAAAAATGCATTTTTTTCCCTCAAATTCTTTACTTTAAAATAGCATGCATTTTAGATGGTTTTCTGAAATTTATTGAACTGAGTGATGTGATTAATCTGGGTTTTACTTAATTTTCAATTTAATGTTAATATTCTTCTCTTCCATGTATATATGCAGATATTATTTTTGTGCTGTTTAGGTAGCCTGTAATTAGTTAATTATAATTCATAATATTATTCAAGAAAAGAAAATTAATTATTATTTTTTTTTATATATATATCAAATTAGGGTGCACTTACTGAAGATGAAGCCTTAACACCTATGGGACAGATGCTTTCTAAACTGCCTGTTGATGTGACCATTGGGAAAATGTTGATACATGGTTGTGTATTTTCAGTTATTGAACCCATGCTATCATTAGCTGCTGCTCTGAGTGTTCAGTCCCCTTTTACGAATCGTTCATTAAGGGACTCTGATATGAAAGTAAGTTTTTTTAAACAGAAAAGAAACTCAATCTTGAAGTATAGCAGTAGCATTATTGCATTGGTAATCAGTATTATTATATATTATTTACATTTGATTGTGTGCCAACTGTAATGTATTGATGTTCTAATTATATAGTAATGTAAACAGATTATCTACAGTTTTTTCTTTTTCTTTCGTTCTTTCTTTCTCTCTTTTTTTAGCTTGCCATATTTGTTTGATTCTTCCACTTTGAACTTCAGGCAATGAAATGCTATCCTTTTTCTTTTTGCTAAAATTATACTTATTGCAAAAGAATTTAAAAAACATACACACATTTTTGATGCATTAAGTGGGAAACTTTTGATGATGAGAAACAGAAAAATTTATATCTTTGATAAATTAGAACTTATAATGATGTAATAAAATTTTAATTTTGTAATTTTAACAAAAAATTACATTTTTAAAAAGTTCTTGCAGTAGCAAAGACACACTGATAAGCTATAAGAAATGTGATTTTAGTAGTGTATATTCTTGCTCTTAAAAATGTAGTATTGTGAGATATATTAGCTATGTGAAAATGTAATGATTGGAAAGAATGGAAGTAAAGATGCTGCCTTCTACATTGGCGGTGATAAAATTTAACGCAATATTGTTTTGCTATATATAAAACATATTTAATCCACATATAGGAAACATTATGATTATCATCAACAATACATTAAAGAAACAACGTATGAAACATATAGAGGGCTGAATTAAGAAAAGTACAAAATATATATATACCGATGTCCAAAATTAAAGTTACAATTACATTTTTTGCAATAATTCAAAAAATTAACTACCATCAATATTTTAAAAACTGGTGTCATACATAACTTGAGAAAACACAAAAAATTTTACAAATCTTATGAGTTGATTTTTTATCGCAAGTACATTTTACCATTAACAATAATCTTTGAAAGATTAATGACTTATGTTCAAGAGGAATTCATAGCTTTAAATAAAAAGTAAATTAAAATATATGTATTGCTGTAGAGAAAGCAGCGCCAGTAGTTTCAACAAATTTGCATTAAACAGATAGATATCTATGATTATAATTGTTACATAAATTTTTTTAAATGTCAGTTTTGTTAATATATGTTTTATCTAATTCTATTTTGTACTATTAGCTGCACATAATAAGTGTAAATTAATAAAAAAAGTAAACTTTGGAAAGTTATTCTTGATTGAGGTTTTTTTTTCCAAATACTTATCTTATTATCCATAAGCTTTGCCAATAGGGATTCTGCTAATTTTCAGTGTTTCATATTTTGAATAGAGTTATGTTCTTAAAATCCATTACTTTATTTGCTCCTATGTTTTGTGCACTTGCAAATGAGAACAGGGTTAAAGAGACTTTTCTAAGACCTAGAATGAACATTATGTGTTCTCTTCACTTAAGTATTCAAATACTGAACTGTACCAAACTCCTTCCCATAACTATTTTCTTTCAAATGTATAAAAACTTATTATTTTCATAATAATTAAATTATGGAAAACCAGTGTATATGAAATGTGATAAAAGTTTAAAAAGAAACATTTTATAAGAAAACGTAATAGTGACTGGTTTATGAATCTGTGAAATCTGACTATAGCATTGCATTGTATGTTAAATGAGTTCTCACAAGTGTGTAGACAACAAGTTCTGATTTAGAATAGCCATCACTAGGTATAAGTCTAGCCAGTCTTAAGCAGAGGTCGATTCAGTGGTCCAATGCCCAGGTTATAGCAACTATTTCAAACTGTAGGTACTAACAGTTCAAACTATGGCCAATTCTGCCCAAGATCTATGTCATCAAGAAAGATCAAAACATGGCCCTAAATGCACTATGCCATAGATAGATGTTAGCTATTCTCTTTATTAACCAGATCATTCTGGAAACATCCGAGACTATGTTTTGATCATTTTTGTATTCATTTACATATCACAAAACATTTACTCCCTGTTTATTTTGTTATGCTATTCTTGGTTATCTTGTAGAGCTGGCATCTGTGAACAAAATTTCATCACAACCATTTATTTTCCAAGATACCACTTTTATGTGTTTGTGACCTTAATTTAATACACCAGTGTATACTCATTTTAAACTTCATAAATTAGTTCAAACTGACTTGTGCCACCTCATTAGGAAACTAATTGAGCATAATTAAAAATTTTCATGTAATTTCTGTTTATTTTTTTATTTTATTGATCACTGTGAAATATTTTATAGTTCAGCCATGTAGACTTTGTTTTATAAGTATACATATTAGTGACCTATGGAAAGTTTCATTAATGTTTAACAAAAAATTCTTTTTGTTTCCAAAAGAAGCATTTTGCTGATCTCTGTAAATCTTATCATATGAAAATAATTTATAAATAGAAATGCAGAATCAGTGAGAATATACAACTATGTGGAAAATAACATTCTTATTAATTAATTGGGCATTTCTGTCTGTAATGTGAAACTGTACTTTAATTACATTGGTGGTAAAAATTAAAGGAGCTCATGTAACTGAATAATTTTACAGCTAATAATGCTGAACATGTACAAGATCTTTATTTTGTCATGCCTGATATATTTTGAAAGTGAGAAAATGACCTGTTTCTGAAAAATGAATAAAGAATGTAGAAAGTGTGATATAGAGTGTGATATATACATCAATGTAACAAAATTAGTCAATAAAAGCATTGTTCATTTTCATGCCTTTCAATGACTGCAAGATTGTTTACAGAACATTTGCTATTAGAAGGGCACTTGCCATATGCTACAACATTTTATATGTAGCGGGGGGGGGGATAATGTGGTCACCCTTGATCAAAATGCAAGTATTACAGCAATTTTCCATGCTGTGTATTATGCTGTTCCAGAGGTCCCATGGTAAAAAAAAAAATACATTCATGATGCTTCTTGAAGCTTCTAGAAGAATGCTCAAGTGAGAGCTGCAGGAATGTAAGTTGATGTCCTCATGCATTTTGTGTGTGTTCTGTTGGATTTAAATCAGGAGGATATGCGAACTGCTCTATCTGGTAAATTCTGTTGCCTTTAAGATAATTGGTCACTAGACCAATATAGTGGGAATGAGCATTATTATCCATTAAGAGGAAATAATTCCAATATTACCACAATTTGGTATAAGATTAAAGAACCTTGTCTTTGTATATTTTAGGATTCATATTTGCACAGGTAAAAAGGAATAGGTCAGTATGGCCATTCAGAATAATGTCCATCCATACCATGATTCCACTGCATTTGTACGAATATGTTCCATATGTATTTTTAAGATTACTGTGTGTATTTTGCTTCCTCCATTATCGAAATATATCTGGAGTTGCTCCATACAAAACTGAAACTTATTAAAAATAACTCAGTTCTAGTTCATAGAATTCCTGTCATAATGGTCCTTGCACCATTGCTGTTGGGCATATTTAGCAGCCTGCGTTAAAGGGACACAAATTATAAGTTTCCTTTTATATAGGCCCCTTTTATATAGCTCATCACTCCTGGCCTATCTGGATATTCAAGTTCCTGTATCAAAAGCAAGCTCCTGCACAATTCATGGTGACGTCAGTTGTCTATTTCTTTTAGCAATCATTGCCATATACTGGTTCTAAGAATTTGATATGGCTGGTTTTTTTTATCTTGACCTGGTTGTCTGCACACATCACCAGTGAAAACTGTTTCCAGATTCCTGATGTGATGCATTTGACTACTTTTAGTTCTTTACAAATCTGTACATTTTTCTGTCCTATTTCTATTCTCCACATCACATGCTATTTTTCACAGTCTGTTAAATGCCTTCTCTGACACATTCGATCTTGGGCTTGCAAAATTTTTATCCAGCTATTTGTGCAATTTTTGTAATTAAAATTTTAAGCATCTCCTTGTGCTTCTTTCTATACACACCTTAAGAACATGTACTATTTCTGTGAAACAAAAGTGAATCCTGCTGGATTATGTAGTAACAATGATCTTGAGCTTTCAATCAACTAACAATAATTGGAATTCACTGAATGAAATTAAGATAAAGCGTCTTTTTAGTTGTTTCTTTAAATTTTCCTTGCACTTTATTGACAGAAATATTTTTGGAGAATTTCATGTTAAAATTTGTAATTCCTCATACTTGATATAGATTGAATGATGTTCTGGTACTTTTTTCCTTCATTTTTAAAATTTTAAATCAGCAATTTACACAAATAAAAAAACTCTTTTGCACATTAAAATTGCTTAACTCTAATTTTTATTCTTCCATAAGATACAACAGTATACTGATTTGGAAATAAGTTTTTTTAATCAAGAAAACTATGCAAGTTTTTCTGATATGTATTAATTATATGTATATGTGCTATCATTCATAGTTTGTGAACATATGTGAAATCTTAACTAGTGCCATTTGAAAATGTATAATTGTGTTGTCTATTTTATTGTGCAAAATCTTATTTTACATAGTAGTATTACATGCATTTTGTGTTTATATTTAGGCAGCAAGGCAAAATTTAGAATCTGATCATGGTGACCCCTTCACTTTGTTAAATGTTTATGGTAAATGGCTTGAAGTAAAATCAGAAAGACACAGCAATTCTCGTAAATGGTGCAGAAGGAAAGGTTTAGAAGAACAGAGGTTTTATGAAATGAATAAACTCAGACGCCAGTTTCGAGATCTCTTAAAGGTGACTTTTAATGAATTTACATCATACTTTCATTTTGCCATTAAATCAGTGTCATTAAATCAGTGTGATAAGAGATAAGTCATGAAGCCAACTGTGCTCAAATTGGCAAATTAATTACTTTGGTTTTGAATTTGAAGTAAGCTGTTGCCGAACTTGGAGATTACATCATTAACACATTATGCATACAGCAAAATTGTATTCCAAGTAGTTAACTTGGAATACACTGCAAAAAATGTGTTAGGTATAGAAGTTAAGAAAGTATGTATAACTTATCCAAACCTTAACATTATTTTAATTAAAAGTAAAAAATGAAGCAAATGTGAGCTGAAAGGATTTCTGTTTCTACATAATAAATAGGTACAATACAATTATTTTTTAAATAGTTGATGATTTTTGCTCAGGACAACATCTGATGCAATTTGTTGAATGTTTCACAGTAAAAGAGTGCCTAAAGTTTTTCCAATACCTCTCATAGTGTCCTCTTCTTTTTTGAGTCGGTCTCTATTACAAGATATTTCTTGTGTCTCTCTTAACAATTTATTTTGTATATTAAAGGATCTTAACTTAACTTTTGCTGCTTTAATAGTCCACTGGGGTATTAATATCATCAAATTCTTCATCTGTCACTTTACGATCATCATTCCTGACTAATTCTTTAATTTTTTTTTTTTTTTCCCTGTACCTAAAAATCCTTTAGTGCTTATTGGGTTTGCAATTTGTACAATTTCCTTAGCTTCATTTTCAACTAATAGAAATCCTTTAAAATTGCTGACAACTTGGATCAGAGATGGGTGCTAACAAGCATTCATTGTTGATGAATTCGCTTGTTCTCTTGCAGGTTTAATCATTTCTGTGTGTAGGTTGAATTGCTTCCTGAAATGCTGTTAGTATATCATGCTTTCCTTTCTGCAGTGCTTTATTCACAGAGATGTAAAATGACCGACATAATAGGTTTTGATTGCTTTTGTGATTCCTTGATTCACTGGTTGGATTAACTAGTGTCCGGTGGAAAGAATAAAGCCTCTGCATTGGATGCAATGTTTTGGGGATTTCAGCATTGTGTCCTGTAGTGTTATTGAGAATTAGGGAAACTTTAAAGGTCATATTTGTTTGTACTTTTTTAATGAATGAATTTTCAAACCAGGCATTAAAGAGGGCTTCTTTTTTATTTACCGAAACTTTATTCCACTCACATAACCAACAAATGCTCAAAACAATTTCTTGCAGTGTATAAGGCATTTTAGTTCAATAAGTGAACAGAGGCTTGCTTTAGAAGTCACCTGATGCATTTCCACAAGAAAGCAAACTGAGATTATCCTTAAAAGCTTTAATACCTGGCAGTAACCTGTGATGTAGGTGTTGTGTCCCACTTGCTTATAAACTATTAATTTCATAAACTGAGGTTTGAACTTCTGTAATGCTTCTTTATATGCTTTAGATTTTGCAAATTAAAATCATGTATTCATGTATGCATACTTATATATATATATATTTCTGAATCTAGTCTCAATAACAGAATATCTAATTTTGCATACATTTCACAGCTGTTCAAATTTTATCTTTTTTATTCATTTATTTTTTCATCTGTTCATTATTTAAATTATGCTAACACTGGTAAATTTCATATATGTAGTGTGTTCATTTCTTTTTGAAAGTAATTCCATAGATGTTTTGCTACTATTGTATCGCCAAATGCTACCAATTCATTATTTTTACTAATTTAAATATGAAAATAATTTCATAATTTATGCTACCTTCTATTCTTGATATAATATAAGTTCAAAATATCATAGTTGTATCTGCACTGATCAATAAAAATGGTATGATTACCTTCTTAATACCTGCTGCTTCACATTAGACATCCAAATTAATTACAGCCTATCGTCACGAATTCTGCTAGTCCTTGTCAAATGTCTTGAGAAAGATTGCACTGGATTTCAAACAGAGATCATCCAATTGCTGTAGATTATGAGAAGGTGGTTATTGAGTTTCGAGTTGGTGCTTCATGAAATCCCAGATGTATTTAGTAGAATTAAGGTATAGCAAATTAGGATGCCTGGACATCAAATGGGATTCATCTACATGCTATTCAAATCACTGTCATACAATTCCAACCTTGTAAGAAAGAGTATTTTTTCTGTTGGAAAAGTCTATTTCTAGTGGGGAATTGATGCTCATGAAAATGTCTCCGAAATTAAAGTAGATTCCCAAAGATTTAAGTTGATAATCATTTCCAGTGTGAATAACCTTCTGTAATTGTGAATATGAATGTTTTTAGGTAGTATCTGCAGTACAAACAAAAATTTTTATTAAATAAATGTGAAGAATTACCAAATAAAGACTATATAATGGAATTTTCATTTGTGATGACAGTGCCTCAATCGCCAGTTAATTGACAATTTCTAGTAAGCAGAAAATATCACCTTTTCAGCTTCCACTCACATTTAAATTTCATGAGGTGGGTATTGAAACATAATTTTTCTTTGTGCTGAATAGGTTTTCCTTGAAGAAATAGGATAGCTGCTTGTCTTGTTCTTTTTTACAAATTTTAAATCTTAAAAAAATTAAAAAGAATCTATGCCGATGAAACACAGAGTTTCACCAAGAGGGGGGGGGGCAGAACTAATGACATGCAGCACTCAAGAAATTCGCTATGCAAAACGACAATAACAAATAAATGGAATTGCTTTGACAGAAGAGAACTGCAAAACTTTCTGACTAATGGAGTCCATAAAGAAATGTGAAGGAATGCTAGATGAATGTGAATTAACTGACATCTTTGCAATGATAATGGCCTTGTCATTACCCAGCAGATGGCAAGATCTGTGCTATAGGTTTAATTCCAGAAATTCACTCATAATAATGAAGAATTCTCAAATAATGAATAATGAATTAACTCAAATAACAATTTGAATAATCTCAAATAACAAATAATGAATTCCAGAAATTCTCAAATAATGAAGAACATGATAAAGAAGTTGTTGAGAATGAAGCAGTTTCAATTGACCATTTAGTGGAAATTCTTGAGATGGCAATTTCAGGGCTGTAACTGAATGTCTGTGTATAAAATTAAAGAGTGCTTCATTATTTTGTGATAAATTTTGTAATTTCTACATATCTGCTTACTAGATTTAAATTAATGATTAAAAATCTAGAATTACCGAAGCCCAACTGATTCCAGATCACTAAATTTGTACTGTGCGATGCTTTAAATTCTTATTTTTCAGTTTCTGGTTTTTTTACCTCTCACATTAAAATGTTGCTTTTATAATGTGAGCTTAAATTATATAATTTTATTTACTGTGCTTTAGGATACTGAGCTGTTACCAGATTTTGATGTAGAGACTAGCAGTCATGATAGATCGAAAAGACATGGAGAACTTAATCATTTGCGAGATATGAAAAGACAATATCATCAAGCTCCTCGAAAACGTAAATTTCTAAAGCTGGAAACTGTCACTCTGGAACAAGAAGATGCTGATAGTGATGATGGAAAGATAGATATTCATGATGTAGATTTCCGCATATCCAATGATAAATGGCAAGTTGAGGTAAGTTATATTTTCTGTGTAATATATATATTGTAATTAAATTGCATTACTTATTAAAATCGCAACTATCACAAGTATTATGAAAATAATAGAAAAAATTGAGAACCGATAAAAATTTTGTTTTTATTGGTTCTCAACATTTTCTTTTGCATGTTTATAACAGGTTGGAAGGTTATCATTGTATTATTTAATATAATTTAATTTCAACATATTTTTTCTGCTAAAATGCAGTTATTCCTTTAGTTTAGATAATATTTTAAAAGATTTTTCATAGTATCATTTCCTGTATATAAATAAGAGATTCATTATTTAAGAATCAGCAGTTGTATCTTTAATTAGTAACTGTAGTATATTTCCAGATGTTAGCATCAAAAAGTCAAGTCAGCAGTCACCGGGAAATTACTTGTTTAAAATTTATCGTATGTAGTGCCTTATATCCACGTCTGGCTATAGCAGATGTAAATAACTCGTATAAATCTTCTGCTGATCAACATTTTCATACAAAAGTGAGAATATAAAGTTTGATACTTTTTTTTAAATTTTGGAATTTACATTTATTAATATAAGATACTAATATGTACATTGTATAAACAGGGCAAACCATTTGTTGTGTTACATCCTAATGGAACTCTTGCACTTCAACCAGATCTTTTGCAGCTAAAAGAGTCTGATGTAATCGAAATGAAGCATTTTCAGACACCTACTCCTCTTAGTAGGAAACATCAACTAATTAGTTTCTTGTAAGTATTATTTATTAGGAAAAAAATTGCAGTTTTATCCCTGCAGTTATTTGGAATTGAATGGCTTAAACTCTATTTCTTTATAGCTAACCTTCATCTTTTAAAGTAAATTTCAAATCTTTAAACTATTCATGTGTGATATGTATAATATTTAAAAGCATTTACATTTTTCTTTTAAAGAGTAAAAGCATAAACTTAAAGCAAGAAAATTTAAGTAATTCAGAAGTTTAATATGGTCCAAAGTCCGATTGTCTAATATTGGGAATGATCTAAAATCTGGACTTCCAGATGACCCAAACTTTTTTTTTAATATCTTATACTTGTGCATTCGATAATTTTCATAATAAGATATATGAAGAATCCTGAATTTCACTTCAACACTGTGTGCCAACCTGGTGAATTGTTATTTATTTATTTTGCTTTTATCACTGCATGAATATCAACACACTGTAGCTTGAGAAATTACCCTTGCAGCGATGCGTAAACAGTTTTTTAATTTTTAATGTTAGTAATTGAATACCAAAGAGCATAGTAACCATTTATCATTGGTTTGCATTAACCATTTATCTAATTCCGCTGCAAAGTGAGGTGATTTTTATTGATTAAGACAAAGCGACTCAAAGGCTATCTGATAATGGAAAGAGATACCTTCATGAAGGACTTTTTAAAAGAAATTTTCTCATATCCATGTTATACATGGGAAAATCATGAAAACTCTCATGCAGCGAACTCGTTTGCCTGGATTTAGAACCTTACTCTGAAGCATAGAGTGTACTAACGGAAAGAAATTTCTTTCCATATGCAAAAAAGTAGATTTTGTAAATGATACTAATAGCTCAATAATGATCATAAATGATTGCATTTAATGCTGATTGAATAATTATATTTAGTGCTGATTGAACTCAGAATACAGATTTGTTATTTCTTTAAGCCTTGGATGAGTGCCAGTGATGGTGTAGCCACACCGGGCAGCAGAATTTAGAGGAGGTAAAATTTTTAGAATTAACAGGAGCATTGAGTAACAAAATTAAGGGATAGCAGAATTTTTTGAATTAAGGGAAGGGACTGGGATGCAAAATTTAGTGGTGACAAAATTTTTGGAATTTAGAGAGATGCTTGTCAGCAGAAATGTGGACCTGCAGAATAAGCCTTAAGTATATGAATAAGCCTTAAGTATACAGTGGTGGTCAAAATTGTGGACATGTTTGGAAATTTTTATGTTTCTGAACTTTGTATGATTATAGAAAATGTTACGTTTCGCAAAATGCAAACTTGTATATATCATTTTAAAGAGAATTTATTACTGAATTCAATACAAAACACAAAATTCAATTATTTGCAATACATAAAAGTTATATGTACTTTAATATAAATAAAAAACACAGTTATGAAGTAAGTGGTTTGTAATGTCTAGCTTTCCTGGCCAATCACTGTTGTTGTTCTGAGAACCAATCAAATGTTAGTAACTGCCAGTAGAAGCTGACATCATGTTTATACTTGAAACAATTCATTAGTTTGCTTTGTTCTGTAGAAAGAGGACATGTTTCTTATACACGCAATTACAAGTAGGAATTTTTGTAAAAATTTTTAATATTAGTCAAGAAGCAATGACATCAAATAAAAGAGTAGATCGGACACCTAGAAAGAGATGTAATATTATTGTGTTACGAGAAAGTGGTCTTTCCTATGCTGAAATTGAAGGCAGGTGGGTGGTTCAGTGACTATATCTGGAGTCCGAAAGTTTTGTTTATGATATCAGGAGACAAATTCAATAAAAAACAAAGAAAGAAAAGGCTGAAAAAAGGTGCACCACATCTATTGATGACAGAAGAATAAAAAACTATGTCTCCAAGATAGAAAAATGTCATCAGCGGCCATCAGAAGTGATCTGAATGATGCTGGTGTTTCTGTCAGTTCAAGAGCAATCAGGAGATTAACAGATGTTGGACTGAGAGGTAGAATTCCACGAAAAAAGCCTTAACTTAATTTTTCAGCAACGAAACAAAGACTACAGTGGGCAAAGGAATCTTTAAACTATTCATGTGTGATATGTATAATATTTAAAAGCATTTACATTTTTCTTTTAAAGAGTAAAAGCATAAACTTAAAGCAAGAAAATTTAAGTAATTCAGAAGTTTAATATGGTCCAAAGTCCGATTGTCTAATATTGGGAATGATCTAAAATCTGGACTTCCAGATGACATTAATTGGACAGATGATCAGTGGTCACAAGTTATATGGAGTGATGAAACTAAGATATCGTTATTCGTTAGTGATGGGCGAAAATATGTAAGACATAGAATAGGAGAAGAGCTACATCCTGACTGCATTCAAGCAACTGTGAAGAACCCAGTTAGTGTTATGATTTGGTCATGCATGTCAGCAGATGGTATTGGTCGCTTTCATGTCATCGATGGGACACTGAATGCCAGAAAATACATTGACACTATTCTAGAACCAAAACTTCTACCTTCCATCAGAGATCTCTTTCCCAACAATGCTTCGTTTATTTTTCAGCAGGATTCTGCTCCTTGCCACATGGCCAAAATATCGAAAGAGTGGTTTCGTACAAAGAGCATTAAATTGTGGTCATGGCCAGGAAACAGTCCTGACCTCAATCCTATCGAAAATTTGTGGCACCGTTTGAAAACTCTTGTCCAAATGAGGTGCCCATCAAATAAAATGGAACTAATTGAGGCTATAATTGTTAACTGGTAAGAGTTAAAAACTCTTGTCAGCTCAATGAAGCGTCGATGTGAAGCTGTAATAAAAAATAAAGTGTACCCTACTAAGTACTGATAACTCACTGCAATCATCACTATCTAATGTATATTGAGAACTGTTATCATTTAACTTTTTTTGTATTGCAAATAATTGAATTTTGTATTTTGTATTGAATTCAGTAATAAATTCTCTTTAAAATACATACTTGATATATACAAGTTTGCATTTTGTGAAACGTAACGTTTTCTATAAGCATACAAAGTTCAAAAACATAAAAATTTCTAAAGTGTCCACAATTTTGGCCACCACTGTATATAAGGATTTATTCGGGACTTGGATAAGGCATGTGCAGGAAATAGGTATAAGTATAAATCTTTTAGAATTAAGGGGAGGTACTGAGATACAAAATTTTTAGAATTTAGAGAGCTGCTTGGCAGCAGAATTGTGAACCTGCAGAGGCCAAATGGTACTGCAAAATGTCTAACATCAGCCTTGGATAAGCCTTAAGTATATGTAAGGATTTATTCGGAACTTGGATAAGGTATGTGCAGGAAGTAGGTGTATGATAAGTAACTTAACTAATGTAATTCAGTCTTAACTTCATCAGGGTATGGAGGCAAGACAAAATTTAGCAGAGAAATATGCCTTTAGATACCAATCTCGTGATATATCGCCATTAATGTATAGCATATGCTAGCTTAATGGTATAATGATAACCACGAAGGTTGGAGACTTTCAGATATCACAAGCTAAAGGGGAAATTTTTCAATGAATGAAATTTGTGAATAAATGTGGAGAACTGGTAATAAATGAAGATGATATAACAGCAATTTTTCATTATGATAACAATGCTCCAATCACCATTCAACTAATGGGTGGCGAAATCTGTACAATGGTTCTAAATTCAGAAAATTTTGCTACCAGTAGTAAAGAAATTGATAGAGAGGTTGTTGAGAACAAGGAAATTTCAATTGGCAGTTTTGTGGGAATTCTCGATGAGGCAGTTACAGGACTTGAACAATGGAACTTGTAACTGAACAAGAAATTACCATATATGCCGGTGGTAATTTCTTTTTCTGTTCCTTTTTCTTTGAAAAAACGGAGTGTGTCTTATACGTCGATACTCAGTTTTTGATTACATTTATTTCTGGAAATTCCCTCTATTCAGAGTTATGCAATTTTTTTCCCCCTTATTCCCTTACGGAGTGTGGGAATATTACAGTTACGTAGAGCTCAGCGAAAGTGCATGAGCTATCATCGACGATCACAGCTGGGTTGGTTTAAACTTTCCAACTTTTGTAAATGGCTTTCAAGTGTGCAAAATTTCTACTGTTCAATTTCCTTAAATTTTTTGTTAAGTTATGGCTCAAAAACAACTGCAACATTGCTATAATATAGCATACAAGCTATGTGCAATTACATATGCTAAAGAACATGGAAACAGGGCTGCAGAGAGGCATTTTGGGCCACCCCAAACTGAGAAAATAAGAACTTGTCGGACTTATTATAATGATCAGTAATAAGGTTTTATCCTTAAAAAATGTGTATAAAAAAGAGGTGCGTCTTATATGCCGGCAAATACAGTATGTCTATAAAAGATAAAGTATTAGAAGTATGAGATTAAAGAGAAGGTATTAGCACTAAATTGAAATAAATTAAGCAATTTACATTGAAAGAAATGTTTTATAAAGCAAACAAATATTGAGGTTTCCTCCCCCCCCCGGTTAATTTTAATTCCCTTAAGGTCATTATTTCATGAATTACTTTTTAATATTTTATAAGTTTTATGTACATGTTATCTTACTAAATTTAAACTGATGATTTAATATCTGTACAAATCCTAAATCCGGAATTACTGAAGTGGTTGAACGAATCCGGATCTGAGACTTCATAATATTATTAATATATAACTTTTGAAGTGAAAAATCATATTACTTTTAAGGGAAGAGGTACTTAAAATTTCATGTATTGAAAAGCTCTCAGTAAAGCTTTATTACATGAGAAACTATCAATAGTAAATACTTTTGTTTTAATGTGAATAATGGTATAATTTATTTGTAGTCTATCCTTTTTGGTTAAAACATCGAGTAAACTTTTTGATTGAATATCGGGTGTGTACTGTTGTGAATCACTTTGCCAGTACAAAGATAAGTAGCATGTTGCTCTTTTATATCTCCAGGCTAATAAATTATCCTCATTTTTTCTACAATAGGCTTCTTACAGCAGTGCTTTTTTTTATTTTTCTAAATATATCTTACTTGTAATTTTAGATTATTATAAAGCATATTATACAGCTTTGTGATTAGTCAGGAATTTATGTATACCAAAGTAATTAAAAAATTTCTTTTGTGTTTCTGGTAGCCTTAAATATTTGCAAATAATTTATGATTAAAATTATATTGCTAATGCTACACAAAAGTTAATAATTTATGCCAATATCTCAAAAATAAATTTCATTTTTGCTGCTGATCACACATAGGTGCATGATGGGATATTATTATCTTAGTCAGTTAATATGCCAGAATTTGGTGAGATATATGCTAACACTTTGTTTTCATGTTAGCCTGCTTCTGGTGAATTTTCATATACCTGCTCTGGCAGTGAAAGTGTTAAAACTAAGAGCAATTGTAATAAAAGATTTAATTTTAATTATTCAGTAATATTTATTATATTTTTCATATATATATGATTGATTGCCACATTTCACTGCATATTTTAAAAATATACCCTTAATCTTGATTACAAAAAGGAATGATATGTAGTGTAAAATTTTAGTATCCATTCTCAAATATCATAGTTGCTTTTTGATTAGAAATTTTGTTTGTTTTAATATGCACTATATGCAGTTGTGTTTTATGCTTAAAATATAACTTTTAGGATTAATTTTACCTTTTATAGAAAAATTCTAAGGGTAAGTTACCCCCCCCCTCCAAAAAAGAGTATCACTATATACTAAACTCAGCATTGTTTTTGCAGTATTTTACTAGCTCTACGAGTAAAAACTTCCAAAATGTTCACGTCTATATTATATGCATTTACGTAAGAGAAAATTGAAGACATAGATGTAGATAATATGTAATGAATTCTTGTTAATTTTTAATTAAAAAATAATCTTACTGGGGATTATAAAAAAAAGGAAATCTGAAAAGATTCAGGTTTTATCGCCGCACCAGACTGTTTATTAAGGACTTTTATGTTCTTGCTGAGCATCGCAGATTACCAATCTGATTAATGAACTCATTCTTGCCAATATATTTTTCTTTATCTTTTTAGCTTTATTATTAAGCATTTCTTTCTTTGCATTTATGCAACATAAATTTCAAGAACAAAATCACAAAATTTTTAACAGCAGCATATGTTTAGAATACATGCTATGGTGTTAAATATTGGCATACATTTTTCAATTTTTTAAAGTCTTTTTTCAATCTATTATATGAATCTTTAGTTTTTCTTATTAAAATGACTTTTCTTACTAAGATGACTAAAACTTTGCCTGACATTTTATTATTCACTTTTTGTGCATTTAATTTTATTTATTAAATATCATGTTCTTCAGAGTTAGGTCACATAAAATTCAACAGCAAAATCAAAATATTTATGAACAGCATATCTATAGAATTCTTGATAGAGTGCTAGGGATTGCTATACATTTTTTAAATATTCTGTATAATACTTCTTTAAAAACTAGCTGCTGCATGGCCAGCTGCCTAAAAATAATTATCATAAAATAGAAAAAAAGTATATAATGATTTTAATGAGTCCAGCTAATGTAATTTCTTTAAAATATTTAATATTTCTGATTAGATATTTCATGATTATAATTCTTTTTTATTTAAATTAATCATATTCAAAAGTACAAGAAATATTCTCAAGAACTGAGTTCATTGCTTTTAAATCGCTTATTTTGCTACTCGGTAACTTTCCAGTTTAAATCTGAAAATTAAATATCTTAGGTTTCTTTCACTACTTGATCCCAAATATATGCAGTCGTACAAATAGAATCTAAATGTGGGTTCACCTGTGCATGTGATGCTCACAGAGGTAATAGTCTCCAGAAGTATATTAGTTTGCTCATTGATTGAAAAACTGCATATGTATCGCTTCTGTACTGCAATAGTGTGAATGGGACTTGATGTCTGTACCTTCACAATGCTAGAGAGTCATTAAATATATAAAAGTTTTAATATTTATTTACTTTAAAATTTGCATTGTTTGTTTAGTTTTAAAAATTTCAAATTTCCTGTCAAGTTTATTTTTTGATAATTATATTAAGATGAATTTACATATATTATTTGAAGGTGTGTATATATATATATATGTAATGAGTTGAAGATATATTTACGTATGTTATATATTCTATTTAGATCTTTGCTTGAGACTACTAAACCTTATTTAGTGAACTGCCTAAGGATACCTTCAGCTCATACCTTATTGCTTTTATCTCATTCTCTTGATACAAATCAAGATTTTACTAGGTAAATATTAATTTATTGATCCTCATTTCTCATATCTAGGATATTTTTGTTAAATGTATCTCTCATGTTGTTGAAATTAATATATAGTGATCTGTTTTTACTATACATAAGAATCTTTTTTGTACTACACATAAGAATGAATTAATTGCATTGAATAAAACTTTAGTTAAAGAGTAGTTTCAATAAAAAAATTATAATATCATTCCTCATATTAAGCTAATTTCATAAAAGTAACCATCAATAAGTAGGACACATTCTGAATTTTCATAACAATAGTAAGATTGAGGAACTGGTTTCTATTAAAATTTCTTTCAATAAAGTAACGTTGTAGTATTAAAAGAAAAAAGTAACATTTAACAGAAATTAATTTTTATTCTTAGTCAGAATGTGAATGAAACTTTTCTGATTTCAGGTATATTAACTTTCGTTGAAAGAAAGTAGTAGTAAAAAATGTAGTGAATTCCTTTCTGATGCCATCTGTATAAACTTAAATCTGTAAAATATGTCTACATTAATATTTTATCTTTAAACATATTTGGTTATATAATTAAATTTTCAACTATTATTTAACCCTCAGCATTATAGGTTTTTCCCTAAAATTTCAAAGTTCCACTAAAAATGGTACACTAAAAATCTGACTCTCCAACATTCAATTAATTGCAAAGCTAAAAAAAACAGAATATATATAGAGATAAAACTAAAATGGAATTGCTATTCAAGCAAACTAAAACTGTTGCCGAACGGTGCGATTTAGCGTCAACAATGGATAAATGCGATGTAACACTTTATAAAATAGAAAAGCAACAACCTTGTGTTTGGCGTAGAATTTAGTCAAGAGTATCGATTTCAAGGGCAAACATGTCTTTCTTCATCAGAAGCAAAGAAATCTGCAACAAAGGTAAAGCTGTGGCTGTATTTATATTGAAAGGGAATAAAGTGAATGAGAAAGTAGTGCCATTTGTCACCACAAATAGTAACCAAAATTTTAAAAGTAAGTTAATTGCATTTTAAGAGCATTAGGAAGGACTGGATTAGAATTAAAGTCATTAACTAAACAAGATAAATGTTTATGAAATCAGAAACTTCAAGAAAACCCAATTCACAAATGTAAGAATTTTTTTTGGATAGTTTTTCCAGACTTAAAGTTAAAATTGTAATTAAATTTTGAAATATGATTAGCTATCAAAGACTTGTTAATTTTGTCTTTTTGGACCATACCCTTTGGGTACAAATACAACCTTGGTTTTCCCTTTATGCAGATTTCTTTGCTGCTTATGAAGCCCTTGAAATTGATAGTCTTGACTAAAATTGATGGCAAACCCAAGGTTGTTAGCTGTTTTATGTTTTACTTTGGCATATTTCTCTTGTGTCTTGTAACACTTTGTATTATATAAATGTGATTAGTTCTCAATAAATTGGTGTAATTTTTGTAAAAGATGGTAAAAGTTAACTGCTATTTATCTGTTTTTTAATCACATTTAAAAAAAATGATTAAACTTTGTAACTTCTCTTCTACTAAACAGCATGTAGTAAAGTATTTTCAAAATTATGCTTTACTGGCCTCAAGAAAAGTGCGACTTATGTGAAAAATAGATAAACACTGGTTGTACACTGTGGAAAATTATAAAAGCAATTTAAGGTTTAATAAATTATGTCCCCAAATTGCGTAGATTGATTATCTTAATAAAGAGCAATCTCTTCCTTCAAATTTCTGTCAAAATGATTGGCACAAGTTTGCCAAGATTCATAGTTAAAGGAATTTCATAATGGAATATGATGTTTTACTTCCACGTTTATGTCTGAAATTTCATTTTTCTTTTGAAATCTCACTTAATTTAAATGTAAGTGTTCAAAATTCAAGTTTATAACAAATCAAATGACTCTTTGTAAAATTTTAAACCCAAATTTTTTTACTTCCATTCGTGCTCAGTTATCTGGAATTAGGCATTTACCAAGCATTCTGGATAGTTGAGATTTTGCTGTACTTGCTTAATCATAATTGCAAAATGACTTTGTACCTTGTCTCCTTCTGATGTAGTATACATCCAACCCAAAATCAGGTATGTCAGAAATTTTTATGTGTAATGGATTTGAAAGCCAGCTTTTTATACAGAATTTTATGCCCATAACCCTTGGAATATTAACTGTGGCAGTCTGTGTTTTTAAGAAATTTGTTATATACTATAGAATTTTGAAATAACTACTAATTAAGAGATAAACAAATTTAATAAAGCTCTGATATTGCTATCTTTTATATTAATGATCTGTCTTATTTCACATTTTTCTGCTAGAATTGTGTGTGATGGGTGGATTGAACTGCGCTTTCCAGTACCTGAAGAGATTCAAACTTTCATTAGTAAAGCCTTTGCCATTAGAGATTCATGGCAGCAGTTGCTTCAAAAAGCATTTGATGGTAAGAATAAAATAACTTTGCTTTAAAATACTAAACATTTAAAAAATTATATATGGAAATAAAACAATTCCAGGCGTAAGAAGTAATACAGAAAATGAAAATTATAATTGAACAAGTTTGATGTGTTGTTCTTACGAAATATGATTTCCATAGAATTTAATGTAGTTGTTTTAATTACATTGTTTTATCTCTTTTTTAGAATTCACTATGGATAAAGATTCAAAAAATGCTGAAGTACTTAAAATGGGACAGAAAGTGTACAATTTAATTGCATACTTTTTCCATATTGAGATCATACATTCTGTTCGAAGACTTCTTGCAGCTGATATCAAGAATATGTATATAGGACCTCAGAAAGGTATTACATTTAGAAAATAATTGTTAGCAAGTACTTGAATTGGTGGAAATTAAATTTTGCTGAGATTTGATAGGCCTTTCATTAATAACAGTAACCATAGCAACATTACTTGCAGGGTAATTTTTAAATATTTGAAAATAAATTTTATCTTTAGAAATGGTTTTTTAACTTTTAATTATAAGATTTTTATTATTTATAGTGGTATTTCAAATGTATCATTCTGGTCTAATTCCTAGTCTTTTCTTCCCCCCTTTTTTTCATTAAGAGGTCAGAAATTATTTTCAATAATAACTTTCAGTTTTTATTGTGAGTGATCATTTTGCAATTTTCTATCCAAACCACGTTTACAATGCTATAATAGATGTTTTAATGTTTGAAAGTTTTTCCCTTAAAATAAAATAAAATAATAATAATAAAAAACCCCATTTTTTAAGATTAAAATTATTCAGTTATTGTTGAATAACTTTATACTATAATAGAAGGAATTCCATCAGGTATCATACACAAACACAAAAGCACAGAATTCCTTATTTAAAAAAATGCTTTCCATCTATCCTTCTATTTTAAATTGCAGTTTACAACTCTGTTCACCTATAATCAGTTAGGAGTTTGAAAGGATCCCTCTCCATTATTCTCATTAATGCTACATAAGGTTTTATTAGCAAATACGTAAACCATACACAATTTCAAAATTTTCTATTAATGTTATTCTTACAACAATGTTTGGGAAGTTTCAAAACTTATTGAAAATGTTTATTCAGTTTGATAAATTATTGCAAATGATCATTGATAACGGCCCTAAAGAAATCTCTAAATAAAAATTCTCCAGGTACATTAAGTTTTCTGTGTGTGTTCCCAATCAAGTATTTTTTAATCATTAGTAAGTCTTCATTATCTTCATTAAATAATTTTTCATTATATTAAATGCTGAAACAGCTAATAGTATTTGTATTGTTAGATACTCATGCTGTTATATGAATGCTGTTATACTCATGAATATCAGAAATGCTTAGATACTGTAATTTCAAGTAGCTAAGCCCCCCCCCCCCGTAGCATATACAGCTACAAGATAATTGACTAAATAAAAATCAAGTCTGCATTGCCATATATATACACCGCAGTAAAGGATTCCTGAAGATGGCACTTAAAATTCATTTATTCAGTAATTCCCTTCCATATTGATATAATCATCATTGATATAACATTTACAACATAACTATGAACAGTAATATATAAATAAATAAAAAATCAACAAACATCTTATCTTGAACTCCCCAAAAGTGAACTCTGCTGATTTCTATTAGACTTTATGTTTACAGGTTCAGTAAATTTTATGTGTCGCCATAATTACCATGTTATGGAAAAAAATATATAAATTTGATAATTAGACAGAATTTTATAATTAAAATAGATTACATTTATTTGTACAAAACCTTCAATGTCCAACTCATGGAAGTCAGAATTAAATAAACTTAACAAATGACCATCAACGCAACTTTCAACAATCTGCTCTAAATCACTTCTTTCAACATTGATATTTTCATTTTCTTTTTTGATGATTTCCAATTTAATGAAAGTTGGTATCAGCTCGAGCTAATTGCTATGCTTTATCGACCCACAAGTTAACCTCCTCATATGATGCTTTTCTCATTCATCCAGAATTTGTGAAGAAATGGAGTTCACTTTGCATCCATTCCTTCCACTACTTTTGTAGCTTATGTTTGAAAATTATATTATTGGTGAGAACTAGAGGTTGTAAAATTTTTATAAGCCCACCTGGTATCATTGGTGCTAAGTTTTTTGCTTTGAATTTTATCAAATCCACTAACTGGAATCGCACTGAATCCAGAATGCAATAGAAAGAAAAAGGTACGGAGAGAAAAAGGTAAGATGTCGGAGAAAGTACCTTTCCTCTTTTAATAAATTTCTCCGAGGCAAAACAATATCACTTCTTTGCACATTCATCCTTTTTGCGTTGGTGCAAATAATGACCTCTTTAGGAAAGTTCCTTTCAGAAACATTTTTCTATTAAAAATTATGAAACATGTTAACTGCTCTTTCTATTGCTTTTTCACTGCCAAAAGCTTAAAAGTGGATGTATATTTTTTTCTTCAAGTTAAAGCCATAATAATAACCATAACTTTTAAAATTCAACAAGTGTGAGTGATAAAGTAAGCACTGCAATAAGCAAGCCATAAATCAGTGAAACACGTACAAGAACGAACACAGAACATAGTGAAATAAAAGTTTTTATGGCTGTTAAAAAGATGATCATTGTGCAACACAGGCAAAGTTACAGAGTTTAGAGGAAAGTACATGCCTTACGATGCTTTTACACCTTGTGCACCCTATCATAGTTAGGAAAGTTTTGCATGAGTGTGAACTTGTTGTACTGTTATAATGTAACAGGAGCGCTTGTATTAGGTTAAATGTCCAAGCGAATATCACATTAAATTCTTTGCTTGTGCATAACTTGCTATCTAAACTAGCAAAGTTCTAAAGACAAAGGAAAAATAAAAATTTCTTCAGATGTACAACAGGCCTAAACTTCAAACTTTTAAACATGTTTTAGGCTACAGTTTATCTACCCAAAATTGTGTTGCCAACCCTTTTGAATTAAGCAGGTGAATCTTGATTTTTGATCATGTTATCAGCGATATTAATTACAACATATTTCTCCAGAAATTCTCTCTGAATTTTTCTCAAGTTTTAAATAGCTTAGCTAAAAATTTTATCATTGGAATTTCTGCCTTTTGAAATCTCTTGTTCCCCTTTCTAGATTATCAGTAAAGAAAAGTCTTTTCATTATTGAAGTATTAGGGTGCATTATTTTTATGCATGTCATGCTCGCATTTTCCAGTAGACATCAAGTACTGCTGCTCATCCATTTAGTCTATACTAATTAACAAACACAAAGCAAGATAAAGGTTGTTTTTTGTGTTCTGACATCGCTAAACGTGTTTCATGTGCTTCAAGAAATGGTTTAAGAATGCTAAATTTTTTTGCCCAAGTTATATCTGTGATAAAAAGTAAAATATTTGTAAATTAAAAAAAAAAAAAAAAGGCTGAGCTTTTCATTTATTATTTCCTATAAGAATTCCTATTCTCGTAGTGGCTATAAAAGCATTTTATATTGACACACTTCAGTAATTGATGTTCTTAAGACAGAAATTGTTTTAATATCTTTCTGTTGATGAAAGAATTTCTCTTTCTTTATTAAGTTATTTGATAATATCTTCTGATATATCTATATGTAATTCAATTTCAATATTCTTTCAGGTAATATTTCAATTGCAGTAGGTCTTTTATCAGAAGCTGAAGATGCATCAGAACATCCAGTGAAAGGTGGATTACAAATTAAAAGTTACTTAACTTACAACTGGTATGTAAGGCGGAAATCAAATAATTTTATTTAGTCTAATTCTGTTCACCCTCAAAATGATGCAACCATCAGAAATAGTCTTATAAATTTATGATATGCATATATTACTCATTAGACCTAAATTTATTTGCATGCCAATTTCATTATATTGCACTCAGGTACTAACATTAATATCATGTGTAGCATCCATGCATGTTTCAACAACTAGTTATCCAGTGGGCATATTGTCATATAGTGTACAGTTGAAATCTCATGGTACACTCACCATGCTTCTTTAACCCATTGGCACAAGTTAACATAGCTCTTGGTAGTTTTGGAAGGTTAGAAATTTTTCTTCTGATGTGATCCCATATGATTGGACACAGATTCTGTAATTTAGATGGCAACAGCAAGCTATCCACAGTCTATGGAGGAGCTGCAGTCACTTGGCTTGTGTGTGCTCATGCATTGTTCTGCTGCAACATCTTATTCTAATGGTAACATGAATATGATTATGATATGCATGAGGAGCATTCTGAATGGTCAATGCATGAGGAGGTCAATGATATGCATGAGGAGGTTAACCTCCTCATGCATATCATTGACCTAATTGGATTGCCTACTATAAACATAGATGAAATTTGAAAAACTTAAGATGTGACACTTCATATCATAATTAGAAATGAAGGTAGTGTGCATTGAGCCAGATTTGCATCTTGAAGCAGGATTGATACTGACAGTTGCAGGATATGTCACTGAAGATTGCATATCTCTGTTTGGTTTCCCAGTTGTATGTGACTTAACAGTAGTAGAATCTGCTCAGTTGCACTTCTGAAGTGCACCAGAACAAGCAGACATGGCTTTGGACATCGAATATAAAGCAGAATTGCACAGATAGAATAAAGAAAAGTCCTGTTGTTGGAAATCGGTCTTTGCAAAGAACTTTACACATCCCTCAGGATGTGGGACAAGAGGGATCTTCCAGTGCATTGATTAGTTGGGGATGATCTAGACAGACATGGAGTTATGACAGATCTCAGAAAATCTTTCCATGGAAGAGCTTAAATACCAGGTTTATCTAATATTTCACAACCCTATACTGCCTCAGAATGGTTTTTAAAACTTTTACATTTTTCTATCGTTTGTGTATTGTTATCTGGATTTCTTACACTAGCAGTTTAGCTTGGCTCACTTGCCTTTGAGGAACAGTTGTGTTAATTTTGATCTTGTGTGTAGCTGCCCTATTATATGGATTTACTCTTGTAAAATTTTTAACCTTTCTCTGCTATAACATCATAATGTTATATGCACTGAAATTGAGCAGATTGTTGAAATTATATGCTAAGCAATTATTGCTTAAGATGATTAAATTTGGAGATGTAGTTTACATATTGAATAAGTGCTAGCTTTAGTTTACATATTTAATAAGTACTAAAATATTATTCTGTAACCAAACGTTTTTTAAAAAGTACAAATTAGTTTTTAATAGATCTACTTATATCTACCTAATCAGAGTTTTGAGATATAGAAAGAATGATGGTAAGTCATATTTATTTACAGTCATATTTACAGTCATTTATTTACAGTCTCTTAGATCCTGATGAGAAACATCTGCAATATATACAGAAGCACTGGACCTGTCCAGTATGTGATAAAGAAATGATAGCCACTGTTTTAGATCAAATAAGGCATAAAGAACAATGTGAAGAACAGAATGGTAAGATTTCATTTAGATAATTTTAATTTTTCAAACATATATACAAAATTATATTTATAATACCAAAATATTTGAAACAAATTTTAAAATTTGTTTTGATGTGCTAGACAGAGTTTCCAAATATTTGAGATCTGATTCACATCTGGGTGGCAATGTTTACTATTGACTGACTAGTAGCACTATGGATAAATACGCTGGGTAGATGATTCAAAGTTTTGAACACTTAGTAAAAGACACCTTGGTAGCCTGTATATAGTAGATAATACTCTGATAATTCTAAGAGGAAATATTGATTGATCATAATGATAGACACTAGGGTATTATGGGACAATAAGTGGCCATCTACCATCAGACTTTCATGCCCTTGATATCTCTTGCAAGACATTTTCTCTCTTTTGTTCCCTTGAGCTTTTTGCCATTTATCAGGTCTTCTTCACTTTTGATTCAAAGCCTTAAGGGAAACAGTCTGGCGACAAAACCATGCTTCCAGCTTTTTTTAACAACTTGTCAATGTTCTAAAATGTCATTTTCTTAGCTTTGATATAAGCCAAAGAAAAAACTAGGTCTAGTAGAAATCACTTTCCAAAAGTCAAAAACTCACAAGGATTTCTACCTCTGGGATCATAAATCTGCATAGCAAAGGATTTTTTGCAATGCAAATGTAATTAGGCGGAAAGGGTTAACGCTGTCATTTTCTATGAAACTTAAGAGAAATAGTTTCTAAAGGATTCCCATGCATACATAATACCAAAATTTTAGAGGAAAAAATTACATTTGCCAAAATGATCAATTTGCATCACAATCCACCTGTTTACAATTTAGACTATTGCATTGATACAGTATAATCAGTTTACCAAATTAATTAAAGACAGGGCTGATTTAAATAATTTTTAGGGTCCTTCAGAAGATGGAACATGTGCCCTCAAACAGGACCCCCCTTTAAAATTGCATTTTCGATATCATTTTGGACTATTACATAATTCATTGCATTAATTCTTGTATTTTGTTATTAAAAATGACAGTCATTTATGAAATATATTTTGTATGTTAACCATTTTCAAAATTATGTAGTTTTTGATACTAAATAGAATACAAATATTGTTAAAAGAACTAATGCAACACTTTCTCTAAATTGAACTCATTCCTGCTTCAAAATAAACTACTTGTTTCAGTTTTTATTTTTCGTATCTCTGAAATCAACAATGCTCTCTAAAAGATATAACCAATTCATTTTTTATTTTTCAAATTCATTTACAAAAACTCTTCAGTAACACTTAGCATTGCATTTATAAGTTTTATTGTAGTGTTAAATGACATGACTTTCTGTTGAATTACATTATTAACTTTATTGAAAGCAAGTATGAATATTGTAACAAATAAGATACACAAAGAAAATTTAATGGCTGTGGTTTCTTTTAACAAACTAGGTGTCTCATTGAAATAAATTGGGACTTTTTAAAATTTTCTTTAAATTCTTTTTAAGGCACATATTATCTTATTTTGTACGGAACAGCTTCATTGCTTCTAGTATTCAATGGAACAATTAAAATATTGGCAAGCTGAAAATTCTCTGAAGAAGTTTGATGGTAAGGGGAAGTGGGATGGGTGTCCCTAAAGTGCTCTCCATCAGACTTGGGATGAAGCCTCTTCCATTCTTATAGGTTTAGTTCAGTCACCCCTATAATGCACCCAATGCTATGATCTTGGTGATGAGACAGCTTAATGTGTGATGGTGTTGGCCATTTCCAACTAATACATTAAGTTGCAAGTACTCAGCCATTTGAAACAAAAACATCTTTTAATTCTTGTTTCCCAACTCGTTTCCCAGAGTGTTTTCAGTTTCAGTTGCACATGCTTGTCAGAATTTCCCAGCATTTCATAGATGCGGAAAATAAACTAAGCAGTTTTTGTCCTGTACCTCCCTTCCCCCAAAATAGGCGAATGTTTTGAAGATTTAATTGCATTATTAATAACCAAATTCATGCTATGAACAGAACAAGATATGTAATGAACTCTTGAGTTTTCATAAAAAATACACCCCTTTTTTACCCTTCATGTTTTCATTATCATATGACAATCTGTAAGATATCCCAGGGTCATGTAAAGTAATCATTCAATTTGTTGTTTTCCAGTATGTGTGGTATTTCTGGTTTTAAAATATCAAAATAAGTATTTCTGAATAGTAACTGATGTAGAACATATATCACCACTCTTAAAACCATATTCAGGTTTTCATTCTGACTGGTACACATTACAGAACATCTGAAAATATTTGTTTCTGACATTATTTGAGTTTGCGCAGTTATAGACAATTCTTTCTGTTGGTGCATCTGATATGTTTGATTTTGAGGTGATTCATGCTAAACAAGTAACTTTGTGAGCCCTTTCCAGTTTTTGTACCCATGTCTCACAAGAAAGCTTAAATATTTGTACAAAAGCAACACAGTTTTTTTTAATAAGTATGAAAATCAGTAAACTCCTTCACCTTCTTGCTATATGAAAGCTGACAATAGAAATGATAAGCACTAAAATAACAATTTTTTTTCTGTAGGAAATACCAAATTCTCTTTGATAAAATGTCTGCCTATATCTATAAAAGAGAATTTATCTTGGATGTGGTTATCAGTTCGTGTCGCTTTAGATTTTTTATTTATCTCTCAAATTAAGAAAATTTATACATCAATGTAACAAAATTGGTCAATAAAAGCATTGTTCATTTTCATGCCTTTCAATGACTGCAAGATTATTTACAGAACATTTGCAATTAGAAGGGCACTTGCCATATGCTGATTTCATTGTTATAAAAAGAATGTCAATTTTTTGTAAGATTTATTTTTTACAAACCTTTATATACTTTTAATATAGCAGACCTTTGTTGTAATTAAAGCAAAAGATGCCTTCCAGAGCCACATATTGCATGCACTTTCTTTTTAAATTTCAATTGTTTGCTTAAAAGCACTTCATGACCCAACAAAAATTTCGTTGGACCCACCACGCTAATGTACGTGTTTCTTTGTTTTATTGAAATGATAAGAATTTGACTACGGAGTGACAGTTGATACGTTTGTATAATTATGTTCTTGTTTGCTGTACAATGAAGTATGGTTCTCAGAATTTGATATATTTACAATTTTCATTTGATTTACATTTCATATATAGTCGATTTCCTTAACCATTTCCCAGTTTTGCCTGAACGCTGTTTGGGTACTTGGAAATGGCACTTTTTTTATTTTCCCGACATTTTTTTATAGTCTAATACACTGATTTGCCCGAATTTTTTGCTTGTTTAGTGTGTAATGTTTCTAACAGATAGCGCTAGTAATCCAGTAAAGTTAGAATTGCAAAACAACTGGTTTCAAGTTTAGGTTTTACTGAATTCTTTTACGCAAGTAAAGGTGCGAAATTTCTTTCCACTAGCTCTGTGTTCCGGCTACTGCGAATACTATTTCTTTTAAATTTGAAGATAAAATAAAAGAAGAAATGAATGATAATAAGCAGCTTATAACTGAAGATAACTCTGATATTGACTTGGACAGTGAATCTGAAATTTCACTAAATGGTTCTGGAAGTAATGACAGTTTGTTGACTGACTTCTCTGGTGATGAAGAAACAGAAGGTATAGATAAACTAACGCAAAATTCAGAACTTTTGTGAACTTGATATTAATAATCCTTCTTTCTTGATATAATAATTCTTCTTTGAAATCGAACAGATATATAATAACAATAAAACATTTTAAATTCTGACAGCTATTTTTGTAAAGTGTTCTTTCCGGTTCTCTTACTTGTTCGAAAAAAGCCAACTTTAAGGAAAAATGTGCTTTTTATGATGAAAATAAAAATTAGCATAAGACAGTAAATTCAACACTTGTTCTGACTGCTGATCTGGGTTTATATAATGAATTTCTTTAAAAATATTTATCAAAAATATGCTTATTTTTTGTCATAATATGACGGAAAAAAGAAACTGTTAAGTGGTTAAATTATGTCATTAAAACGAAGTAAAAAAAAAAAAAAAAAAAAATAAGGCAGCAAGGGGTCATTATAATGAGCATCAGCTTTGTATGAATATAATATAGCTTTATATGAATATAATATTAAATAAATACAAAGTAAAAGGCGGCTCAAAACCTAATCCAGTTGTATAAAATGAATAAGATGAATTACTCTCAATAGATTATCTCGAAGAAACACTTTTAGTTTTTTTTGCCAATTTAAGGATAAACTCTCTAAAATAGAGAACAACACTTTTTATGACAACCCTCTTGCATCAGCGAATAAAATTACATTTCCAGACATTTTGTTTTAAATTTTTGCAGGCAAGTAAGTTAATTTTAATTTCCTTCCTGAGTTTGATCTTTAAATATCTAATTAACTACTTTTATTAAACTTTAATTTAAAAATTAAGACAATTTTTATCATCTTTTTATTTTGAATTTAAAAAAATGTGTACGTTTTGTTTTTACTATTGAATTTGAGTTTGAAAATGTGTGTCGGGGAATATTTCTTCTAAAGTGGGCATCTCATTTAGTTACGTTCTTAATGAGTAATTCAAATTTAAAAGTTTATCTTATTATCTTAATAATTTGATGATGTTTATGAAGTTTTTTTTTGGCTTAAGTGGACTAATGTCTTTCTATTTATTGAGGTTTTCTGTTGTTCGTGACATGTAGCAGAATAACATGTTTGGTCCTTACTTTTGGAAGGCAAAACACTCTCACTTAATTTAGTTGTTGTTAATTGATAGTAGATTATTTTGTTCCTCTTGACAAGTCAATGAATTTACGGTCAATAACAATGACTACTATTTCAGTACTTAAAATTTTTATTTTTGTGATTGAAAATTTTTGTTTACAGATTTTTATGGTTTTTGCTGCAATAGATGTATAGAGAATACTAAATTAAAATGCTGACTGAAAATTTTTTTTCTTGTAAAATATTCAGGTTTTTAATTGAATTTCTGTTCCTTGGAGATTTAATATGAAAAAGTTTTCTAATATAAATGTAATTAAATATTTATAATATATTTAATATATATATATATATATGTTAATTCATTATTGCATTTATAGGATTATTTGAAATTTATTAAATATGAAATTCAGTTTTTGGTCTTTGTGAAAAATTAGTTCTAAATTTCTTATTTTGTCTTTACTAATATATTCATTTAAAAATATAATTTATTTCCTAAACAGTATCGATTAATTGATTATATTATCTCCTAAGTTAAAGTAGAATTATTATAAAAGAGTTAAAATCATACAACATCTAAAAATATATATATACAAGATAAAATATATATATACAAGATAAAATATGTAAATCAGCTTTATAATTTAATTTACTAATAATCTCTAAATTATTCATTTTTAATTTGAGTGTTTCCTCTCTGTAAATAAAATTTCTTATGAAGACAACCATAGACAAATTATGAAGACAACAGTAGACTGAACAAGAAAATATGGAAGAGAACTGCACACTAAAAACAGTCCATAATATAATCCAGAAATCTGTAAATTTACAAATTATTGAATAAATGTTTCAGAATTGAAAAATCTGAATAGTTCTTATGATCTGTTCCTTGTAAGCTAAATGTATTTTTTGCACTGCAAGTTAGGAAAGTTATTACTTATTGAATTCTGTTTTATCAGAGATCACAGAGTTAAAAAAGAGAAGTAAAATACTATCAATTCCTTAAAACTAAGTACAAAACACACTTTTTATATGACAAAAACAAAACAAAAAAACGTTTTGTAAAGCTGAAGTCCAGATGATTGGAGTTACATTCTAATGGATGATGATAATAGTAAATATTGAAAGAATTATCTACTTCAGATTTATTAAAAGTTCTAGAAATCTAGGACCAATGAATTCCAATATTATAATCAAAATACCTGAAGATCTTATTCATCAAATATCCCACTCTTTTGATGAATGTTTTAAATGCAGTTTTCTATTGACATAAATATAATTAGGTATGAAAATTCAGTGTTATTGTTAACCAAAGTGGCCACAGACAAGTCATTTTGTACCCCTTTGTCTTGAAAGCTAATTTGAGCATGGTCAAACGTCATGGAAATCTCAGGTTTTTCATATTTACACATACAGGTTTAACATAAAATGTAGAGTTCCTGAGAATAAGTCATAATGTTCTAAAAAGAGAAACTTTGAAGAAATGAAAAAAAAAATCTGCTCACAGAGCACTGTGAACAAAATTTTTGGAACTAAGATAAAATATGATTTTGATGCATATCATTGTGCAGCAGCTTTGATAATAATTAACAGCACAATACATTTCTCTTTGGTCTGCATTATGCGAGTGTATAAAAACTTAAACATTAAAAAAAAATATTTTATTGTACTTCGCCAACAAGCAAATGATGCAAATTTGCTTTATCAGTAAAACAAATATTATACCAAATGCAGATAATATATCTATAACTTCCAGTTAATCGGACGACAAGATTGTCATAAAGGAAATTAAATTGAACTAATATGAATTTTGATATGAATCGTGGGCAAATATGGTGTAAGAAAATATGTATATTATTCTGAAGATCTTCAAATTAAGAATATCTATAACAGTTTCAGTGCAAATATATATAAATGTTTGCATATATTAAAAATCATTAACAGATTTTCTCTTCAGGTGATTATTAGAATAATGATTTAAGTATTTAAATTTCTGAAAAATACTAGGACTAAATTTTCAATTTTGTAGAGTTTTTTTTTAAAACAGAAGAAGATATTTAGCAATGATTAAAGCAAGAAACATTAGAGTGCAAAATTAAAATGCTGTTGAAAAAAGTATATTTTGTATACTGTTCCCTTTTTCATGTTCATGTAGAAAAGTGTAATAGATCGTAGAAATCCTAGAAAATCACTGAGTGTTCCGAATTCATAATTTTTTTTTTCAGTTTTGCAGATTTTAAATTCTAAATTTCTTTAAAAAATATAATAGTGTACACGTGAATTCTTAGGTGGCCAGTCAGAAGGGATTCCATTTGTGGCATATTCAGTTCTTCCGAAAAGCAGTTAAGCATTAACATACACCAGACCAAAAGAATGAACAGCACTTAACATTGGGTATCTGCCCAGCAGGAAACTGCGAAGAGCCAAGCTGTCATGGGCATAGTGATTAATGATTTTATTTAAAACATTTTTAATGAAAAAACACTGTTTTGATGGAAAATTTAATCTAACTGTATTAATATTTATGTATGCTCATTATATAATGATGCTTTACCATTCTCTTAGGAAGTCGCAGTGTAGCTGATAATCAGGAACAGCAGATTTATGGTAATGTATAATAATATGTGGCTCCACAACTGCAGGTGTTGTGGGGTACATAAACTGGCGGTTAGAGACAAGAGCTGTCTATCTTAGAGAGGAGAATAATTGTAGAAGGTAGTTAAAAGTAGTTAGTTTTTAAATTTGTAAAAATTAAATAACTGCAAAATTAAGTTATATCGAAATCTTTCAATCAAATGCTGACACCTCTTACCAGAAGAAAATGTATATTTAAGTAAAGATGGTATGTATAATTACTTCATGAATATATTAAAAAATAAAAACATAAAATATAAAAGTTAAAATACCTCTTTTATCCAGTTTTATAAAAAACTTGGTTAAAGTAAAACTCCCATTAATTAAAATTAGAAAAAGCAAATAAGTTACATAACAGAAGTGACATACACCATTAATAGTCATGTTTCGTGGCTAATTTCAACCTTATGTAATTTAAGATTAAGAAATATAATTATTTTGTTTAAATAATGCACAATTTCTATTAACAAAAGCATTTTCTATGAAATATTTATTGCTTTTTCCTTTTCTGTTTCACAATTTATTTCATTTGCTTTATGTTTAGATAATTGTTATATTGTTGACCTACATCTAATGTTTCCAGCAACATTATAATATTATTTAAACTTATATTATTTATTTGTATTCTTATGCATTATATTGATTTGAATTTGAGTTTTAAATAATTATAAAAAAAGAAAGGAAAATTCAAAAAATTGGATCAGATTAGACTGTCCATTTAAGACCAGACATATTAAAAAGTGCTTTGTAGCTATGAAGTGTTGAGTTTCTAAACAATTATATAAATATTTTTGATTATATGAAAATACATATTTTTCAATGTTTTTATTTTTAGGTCAAGATATGAATTCAAAAATTTCTCAGAAGGATGATAAAAATCCTTTGAAAAAGTCTTATTTTTGTCCTGACTGTCAAGAGGACCTTCTTCTTACAGCTACTGAGATACTTAAGCATAAAAGAAGTCATTTAAAGTCATAACTATTGTTGATATGTATGAGTAATTGATTTGTTATTTTTTGCAATTTTTGTTGTAAATACTGTAAGATAAGATTCAGTAAAGAATTTGTTTAATTGTTATATACTGTATATGCTCGTGTAGTGTTTGTAAATTTTAGGTAGCTATTAGACGACTTTAAATTTGGCACTTTTATTACTTGGGCCATTTTCTTCCACTTAGAACTTAACCTGGCTGTTTGAAATGAAATTTACATCCCAAATTACTCACGAGAGAAAGCACGATATATGAATGACTTGTGTAATGTCCACACCTCCATGTTAGGGATGTAATTTTAGTAAAAAAAGTGCGGACATTATGGGAGCCTATGCGGTGCTATTATTTTACGAGCTGTAAAAATGATTAGATGTAAAAATTAATATCGGGGCGATATGTAAAATAAAGTTAGTTGAAAATGTATATTTTTTGTAATGTATAGTTGGAAAAATCTAAGTATAAGAATCCAACTCTTGTGTTCTTGCTTTTCTCATCTTAATTTTTGAGGTATTGTCATAATGCAGAATAAACGTTTAATTTCAAAGACCATGATTATGGTACAATCAAATAATGAATAATGCATAATGAAGTTGACCTAATTAGATGTGCATTGTAATTCCAGTTTGGAGAATACTAGATTGGGATTACGCCTAAACTCCAATTTCTGGAAATCTGGGTGATAATCTTATGAAACAATTGCTGTTATTGCCTGCAGCTGTAATCATCATGTTTTTAGATTTAAACATTTATATGCGCTAATTTCATGATGCCACCCATATTTATTTATTTTCATATTTTGCAGCATTTATCAGATATTTATTTATTAAGATAGAGATTTGCTAACTCTCCTGATTTTTTATCATTCTTCTGCTGAACTTATTTGCAACATATTTCCGCTGACTTTCACCGGTTCTTAAAATTTCATGATTCATATTAGTTCAGTTTAATATTTTATTATTTTCATACCAAAGCTTATATCCAGTATATGATTCATAATGTGCTTTTAATGATTAGTGATATGTTTAAGGATATTTTATCAAATTTTGCAAAACTAATCTTTGTTTTGTATTCTGATTCTATAATTATTTGTGGAAATTAAAAAAAAAAAAAAAGTTTTGTTGATAGGCATTGCATTTAATGAACTGGTAAAATAGTTTCCCGAAGATACAAAAACATTTTAATCATCTGTTAGAAGTTACTTCTGCTAAGTGTATGATTACATTTTATAGTAAGCCTTTGTCGAATGTGGTGGGTATGCCATTAAAACATTGCGTGTACCTAAATCGTATCTTTAAAGTTAACTTTCTATAGAAAACATGTATTAGGTATAATTCACATTAAAAAAGCTCTTATAATTAAAAAAAAAACCTTAATGTTGTAGTTTAAAGGAAAAAGCCAAACAGATGTTAATTAAAAGGATGTTTCAGACTGCTTAATAAAACATAATACTGTTATTTTCTTTGAAGCTGGTGAATTAGACTGAATTTTTTAATACCTCTAAGAAGTATCTTCATCTTTCATGATTTGGGTCAATCTCTATTGCAAAATCATGTCTCTTTTTTAGCTATTTGTTTAATTTCGTATGAATTAATGGCATTTTATCTTCATTATCACTGCTTTCATTGTCCACTAGTGTTATAACATTGGTAATAAAGTTCCAGTTCTCTATTCATCATTTCTCGATTAGTTCTTTGACTTCTCCTCTTTCTGTATCTAAAAATCCTTTATTACCAATTGCCTTTGCAATTTGTATGGTTTCTTTGTTTTCAGTTGATGGAAATCCTTTAAAACTGTTGATAACTTTGGCCCTGGCCAAAAGTATTCAGGTTTGATAAATGAACATTGAACTGCACATGAATGAAATTCTAGTGTTGGACAAATTAAATGGGGGGGGGAGAAGTAAAATGTCGCATTTCACATAATCTGTACTCAGCAAGGATTTACTGTATACAAATTTCCAATTAACAGTGAAGCAATTTTGCATGTTAAAGTTGCAAAAATATTCTCTGTTGCAAGACATTTTTGAGCAGGTTTCTGGTTTTATTTCACTTGGTTTTTTTTTAAAAGGAAACTATTCATTTTTCAGTAGATAAATTGCAATCACAATTTTGGAATTTACGATCAGAAAACTTTGATAAAATTATATAATGAACAAGAGTTGATACACATTGAAGTTTAATTGGAATACTAAAACATGCTGATGGAATTTTAAACTCTCTAAAGTAACATTGATAGTCTTGACAATTCTCTATACCAAGGCAGAGTGTGAGAGGACTTTTAGTATTGTTATTAAAACACAAACTAAATTTAGCACCAATGTAAATGATGATATACTGAAAATTGTTTATTAGCAAAACTGAGCATACGTGGCAATGGCTCTCGGCAAAATTATAATGCTTCTTTCTTAAAGAAATCAAAATCTGCTGTTAACAATTATATCAAAATGGATTAAACTATTATTTTCCTATAAAAGGTTTAAAAACAAATAGAAGGAAAGAAAGAAAAGGAAATTAAACATATGATAATTTTTTTATTAATTGCATTTAAAACGTAGTCTGTGCTTGTGAGTATTAATTAGATAGTATTTTTTGTTGATTATTTAAAAAAAAGAATTTCCTTTATTGTATATTTTAAAGAGAGTACATGTAATGCAGAACTGAAAAATGAAATTTTGATTAAATGATGTGTAGCAGATGTAAGTTTTTCGTATAACCTGAAGGATGTTTAGAAAAGTAATAGAATTCAGAATTATATTAAAATTGCATTAATCTCAAAAATAAGACCAACAATTTAATGCACTTTGGAAGTCTGTCTAGACTAAGTCATGTAAATAGAAAAAAAAATGTATATAAAAAGCATTCTGCATGTTTCTGTATTTATTACTGTTTTGTTCAGAAGAGATTTCAAGATTTTAGAAACATTTGTATTTCAGTGGATTTTTTTGGTTTACCCCATACTTGCTAATGAAACATGCAGAATAGGAGTGAAATATGCAGCACAGTAAAAAAAAAGTGGTCCATTATAGCATGTAATTATATTACTTTTACGCACTTAAAGTAAAAAAGTAAGAAAAATATAAAAGGGGAGGAGGGGAATCAGACTAGCATCTTGAATTTTTACTTTGCACTTGTTACCACTCAGTAAGCCAAATAGTTCTACTGTCATTCAAGGAAACATGCTCTGTATCCATATTTCTTTCATACTGAATGTATTTTAATTTAAATTAAATCCAATTTTATCAGATACTATAATACACTGGCTTTCAAAATTAAGGTATAATGAGAAAGAATATCCTCCCTTAGTTAACGTTCCCGAATGCTGTAATTACTTATGTTAATTGAATACAGTTCAACACATAACTGCACTTCCGCTCATACATTTGCTCCGAAAATAAATTCGGTGACTGACAATGTGGTGCGTAAGGCACGCATGTTGGAATTCTGGTCTGTAGTGTTGTTTAAAGTAAATGTGGTTTCTGAGTGTGACCAAAATTCAATAGTTGTGGCTCAAAGGCATCACTTTAAGTGGAGGTCAGAAGTGGTGAATTATTGGTAATGAGGTCTAACACGAATGAAGATTACCCAAGATTTGAATATCCTTCAAATTGTTATATTAAGAGCTTGGAGCCGCCTTTTCAAGCACTGGATCAGTTGATAGACAGCGTAGTCAAGGGTGATCAAGAACAACAAATGCATCTGAAGACCGTTTTATGTCATTATTGACTCGAAGAAACTGCAAATCGACTGAAAAGTGGACTTTCAGGCTACCACAAGAATTCGAATTAGCCGTTTTACTGCTGCACGAAGGTTTAATGAGGCTGAATTGTATGAAAGAAAACTAATGGTTTGTGTCCCACTCGCTCCAGCTTCCAGAAAGGCCCGTTTTAAACTGATCCATCGTCATGTTCAACGGAGCCGAGATGACGGGGCCCGAGCATTGTTTACTGACGAGTCCAGATATAGTCTAAACAGTGATTTTAGATGTGCTTTAATCTTTAGAAAGTAAGAAATATGCAACTTGCCATCCCATGGATCTTGTTACCGCTACCGCGATTTAACAGTTTGGGGAGGAATCATGACAAATAGCCGCACCGAGCTGCATATCTTTCAAGGAGGTTTTGTATCAGCTCGGAGATATGTGAACGAGATACTGGAACTCCAAGTTAAACTGTTGAGGGGTGCTGTTAGCTCAGAATGTTTGTTAATGGATGACAATGCTCGGCATCATCGAATATATGTGTGGAACTCCAAGTTAGACTGTTTAGGGGTGCTGTTAGCTCAGAATTTTTGCTAATGGATGACAATGCTCGGCATCATCGAGCATATGTGTTGTCAAAATACTTGCAGACAGATGATATCTCTCGAATGGATTGGCCATCTTATCCGACTTGAACTTCACTGAATATGTGTGGTATGCCTTAGGGTGCCGAATTTCAATGCGTAAAATTTCTCTCCGGACCCTCCAAGCGCTGAAAGGTGTGTCTTTAGTAGAGGGGCATGCGCATCCGATGCTGAGCTACTGAGCTGGTGTGACGCGTTTATCTCTTGCTCCGGTTCTTTGTGGTGCAACATGGTCGCAGCCTTGTGCTTATGCGGATATCTTTATATGTCGACGTTAATTTGGGATACTAATCGACTAGTGATGGTGTTCAGTGATATTGTGATGTGTAATTAACTATCTCTGAAGGATTATTTTGACTTACCTCAATGGCGGAAAAAGATTTTCGTCCACTTAACCTAAGGATCCAAAGGCGATTGCCCGTCACCTCGTGGCGGGCTTACCGGATGAAATCGTAAAATTAGCGGATGAATCTTTAGATTCAATGTGATGGAATATATCACTGTTTTAGGATACGTCGAAAAAATCAAAAATATGATTAACTCGATCAGCATAGTTTTAGAAGCTATTCCGGATAATGCAGAGTCAACCAGTTACTTCATGTTCACAAGGAAAAGAACCATTGCCGAGGGATTGCTGCAGTTATTTGAAGGTAAGTGCAAATCACTTTGGTGATTTAAATCCTGAATTTGTTAAACTTGATTATTGGGATCTTAAAATGAAATTTGGCAAACCTAATATTGCTAAC